CTGAAACGGAGTTCTACCTAGATGTCTCCACCCATCGTTGTAAGGGAGGAGGCCTCGAGGATAATGCCTCGCCAGAAATTTGAGGGACACATCCGATCTGTCTATGGTGCCATACATCTACGAGGCGGACAACAGATAATGACTTGTTCACGGGACGGCTCGCTGCGGGTATGGAACTTGAAGAGTGGGAAACAGATTGGAGATGACTGGCGGGACGGTGACAGTCCAGTGTGGATCGTAGCGTTGTCTCCGGACGGGAAGAAAGTAGTCAGCGGGAGTATGGATGGTGAAGTGAGGTTGTGGGACATGGACACAAGCAAAGTTGTCGTGAAATGGATTGGGCATACAAAGGGAGTGAGTTCTGTCTGCTGGAGTGGAGATGGTCAGCGAGTCTTGAGCGGATCTAAAGATGGGACTGCAAGACAATGGGACGTAGAGAGTGGAAATGCAAACCCCGCACCAATCAAGACAGGGCACGGATTCGTGTGGGCAGTCGTCTACTCGCAAGACATGACCATGTTTGCAACTGGTGGATCCAAACAGAATTCCATCAAAATCTGGGATGCCAAGACAGGTGAACTTGTCGTTACTCTTGGAACAGCTTCTTGGGTGTTGTGCACCCTGGCTTGGACCCCGGATGGAAAAACACTTATATCTGGGTCATATGATCAGTTAATTACGACATGGGATACTTCAACCCCAGGGAAAACTGGACATGGCCAAAACGGTTGAGATCAAGCGGAATATGACGAATTTAGAAGCACCATATTTCACTATAGGAGACTCGCTGTGGAGACAAATAGAATATTTCGCATCTGTTGCAATCTTCTCGAATGTTGTAGGATATGTTAAGAATATTGATATCATATTTCAGCATATTTCAATCGAGTTCCACTGGTACGACAAAATCGGTTGTATTCGGGTGAAATATGCTATAATCTACTAATACAAATGCTTCGACCTACGACCAGAAAACACGATATAGGATGATGGTGATAGAACTAGCACGACAGTGTAAAGCAGGCAACCTCGACGGCAGCAAAAGAACAGGAGCGACGTGGACAGGCGAGGAGGGAGACAATCGGGAGGAAACCGGCAGGCAATAGCAAAAGAACAGGAGCGATGTGGAGTGAGACAGGCGAGCACAGGTAATTTGGAAGCGACCAGCAGGCGATGGCAGGAATGATGTAGACAGTAGAGGAGTTAGACGAGCGAGCAGGCGCTGTTCTTCGTCCAGCGCCCTGCTTTTTCCTAAGAAGTCTCAGCGACTTGATAATATGAGTAGCAAGGCTGTACTTACGAGTTCTCTAGCCTCCCTATCATAAGACTGTGGACAGAAGTGTCAGTAGAATGAAAGGATATGGTATCGAGGACGGTAGTGGTTGTCGGTACAGGTACCAGCTTCAAGTTCGAACTTGGAACAGTCTCGGAGTCATTAGACTGGACAACATAAAGAAGAGTTCCACTTACTGAGCATACAACCTTTGTTATGATACATACAGTGATAACATACTTAAATCGAAGATTCATACAATCTGCTGAGGAAGTTGGCGACAGTAGGAGGATGATGACTTGGCGGGAAGATGATGTTATGAGGAGAAGTAGGAAAAATAGGGTTGCCCCAATGAATTATAACTTTGGGGTGAATGATGTCACAAACTCTGCGCAAACAAAAGAGTACGTACTATAGCTAGCCGTTGTGCGATGTATGTGATGCAGCACGATGTGAAGTAGTCGATGAATTGCATAGCAGAAGTGCATGCGGTGCACGTGCGTCGTGCGAGCGCTTGACAAACTTTAGTGCGATCGACAACGCAATGGCCGCAGTGTGCGCATCAAATCGACAACGATGTAATGTTTTTACGATGCGATGTGTAGACGATCGTGTCGTTGAAGATTACACAATATTATAGCATAAATTATATGTCTAAACAATATTCCACTTGATCTCAACCGTTTTGGCCATGTCCAGTTTTCCCTGGGCTTCAACCTGGACACAAATCGCCGTGCTGAAAGGACACACTTGGATTGTGCGATCCATTGCAATATCTCTAAATGGCCGCATCCTCGCAAGCGCATCCTGGGATAACACAGTGCGATTATGGAACCTTGACAACAACCAGCTCATCGGTTCGCCCCTCCATCCATCTTGTTTGACTTCTGTGTCATTTTCGGCAGATGGAAAGCTACTAGCCACTGGCTGCTTCGACAAAAATGCGTATACATGGGATGTTTCTGGGATACTAAAAGAAGCTGGCCTTAGTGAACTTTTGTTGGACAAGCCGGTCCTCACTGTACGTGATACTTTGTTAAATCAGATCTCATTCAAACATATGTAGTCACGACGTTCAGTCCGTCGGCCAATCATCGTCCCTCGGGTGCCCCATGATTTTTTTGACGACTTACCAGGTCGGGCTCACGTACGTCATTAATGTCTAATTCAGTACTGTTTTGAACGTCTCCAGGTTTCTGCACGACACCCTCGATCATGGGCATCGCATTTAAGCACCCTTCGTAATCAGTTTTCCTCTTTATTCCACCCCGACACCCACGATACGTCTTCGCCACCCCACCCTTTCTACTGGGTTCGAAACCGACTCTTGGGCAAACCAAGCGATGAAGATTTTGAGTTCCGTGAGCGTCCCTCAGCGGTCGTCGATGTTCCGTATGCTAAGGGCAAACGTGTATGTCGTCCTTTTCCTTCTCGAATATTCAAACCACATCTCATACAACACAGAGGAATGCATCAGCAAGAGAAAAACGGATGAAAATAATTCCATTGAGACCTGGGAACCCTGCCGCAAGCACCTCACGTCCTCCCAATAGCAATACCGCACAACACTCTAATGGGGTATCTCAACCCCAGTCTTCGCAAGCACAGGCTACTGTCTCCACTTCCATCCCACCTTCCATCGTCACTGACACAAGCCCGAACACCAATCCTCATGTCATAATCAAACACGCTGGGCGCTGGACTCGTTTTTGGCTCTCTATATGCTGTTCCTCTTATGAATATACTGACGGTCATCATTAATCTACCCTGTTTGTTTTTCCTCTCTTAAAGATCTCCTTTGTCATTCTCATAGTTCTGTGCGCTTATACGTATACTCATGATCATCAGTAATATATTCCGTCCGTTTCCTTGTGCTTTACGAAGATCTTTCCCAACTCATCCTTCCAGTACATAAAACGGAGACAAATTTTTGTCGTTGCCAACAAGCTTTCACTGATCAGGAAAGTGACTCTTCCCAATAAACATGTGTACAACTGAAACGAACAACACTTGCATTTGCGTGCTGCAGAAATGATACATGCTCCAAGTAGGTAGCGAATCAGTCTATTGAGTCGAAATACTTGCCTACAAACCGCCAATGCTTCTCAATACGTCTCGAAAGTGCGACCTTCTCTCCGACCTCAGTACATGCGGGTGAAGTCAGTTGAACCTTCGCAAGATCCCCTCTCACGCTTAATACCCGCCCAGTCGATGTCGAACCCATGTTAATCAGCAGGAGCTCGTTCTTGGTGAGTTTCGAGACCTTATTTCTTCTTCTCTCTACGAACGCCCAGCAAATGGTGAAGAAGGAACGAATATATTTCAAGCTCTAGATTCTCTTTAAAACGCAATCACATATCCAAAACGAGGATACTCATCAATACAGACCTTAAGTTCGGGAGCTTCCCAATCGCACCCAGCACTTGACCAACGAGACAATCCGCTCTGCACAGCATAGGATCAATCTTGGTCCGAATACCAATCAACCCTCCCGGAACTGCAAACTGCAAGTGATTGTTCCCGATGTGCAGAGTCGATCCTGCTGAAAATGGGCTTGCGCGGTTCCGGCCCCGAGCGTCTTTCGTTGTAATCCTTAGATGAATCTTGACTTCTTGCCTTAGCCCGTAGGAAGTCTGTGAGGATAGAACACCACCTTTGAGCTCATCGACCTGAACACCAGGCTTGTTGACGTCGAAGAAACGGTCAACGATGAGACGGGTATCGGAAACAAAGTCGCAGACTGGGATAGGTATACGCTTTACAATGTATTCGTCGACAGCGTCGATGTTGTATTTCGGTTGCGTTCTGATGAGCGACGACTCGACCGGTAACGATCAGAATATCGTGACTGGGACAGTCTATGAAGGAAATATGGCGAATGACTTTCATCCTGTGACCGCATCGTATGCAGGGAGGATTATCTTCCTTGTCTGGGCAGTACTGCCTGGATGGGGACACACCTATAAAATAATAGAGAAGAGAGCTCTTGTTCCAAGGTATGAAGGCAAGCGTGAAGCGGCGTGGATGTTGACAGTGGGCACGTAAAGCTCAAATTACATAAACCGACACCAAATACATTCGCAAAAAGAAGTTATCGACTTGCTAGAAAGCCACCAAAACTCCTCGCGACTCGTTGAATCAGTGAGATCTTGGTATTTTTGTTGTCTCATTCGAACTACCCGCCTTCAGACACCACATAGACCTGAGGACATGACAAAATTTGGACGAAATCGATCTCTCCGAGTTGTTTGCTGGCGGTGAGCTCACTGGGCTAGCAGACGAACTTCGTACATTTGCAATATGGACTGTACAATATATGATGATGAACTTTGAAATTGGGCCACTTGTGCGTACTATCTTTATTTTATTCAACCGTGTGCTACATGCCTCTTCGACTCCCGGGTCACTGTTGCCCAGTGACTGACTGGAGTGGGATTCCAGCGTACTAGTCCTCGAAGAGACCGTATATGTCAGCGAGGCTCCTACCATTTCTGGCGTCACATCTCATGCACATTACCTGTGCATATGACGTTATCGTACAGGGCACTGTCAAGTCTGCAGTCTCTGGAGCTTGTTATTAAGCTGATGTACGACCGGACGTCATCGTTACTAACATTCGCCATTTCAAATGCCCGTTTGCGGTTTCTTGCTCATCAAGTTTCAATTTATTATATAGATAGCAAGGTTGGAAGGCCTCCAAGCATTCTACCCTCCACATCTATTTTCCATGTCTCTGCAACAGAAAGCTCTTGTTCTTCCCCAAAAGCAGGGCAACTTTGAGCTTAGCTCCCGCAGCATCCCCAGTCCTGGGGTCGGGCAGCTCCTGATCAAGATTCAATCTGCAGCTCTGAACCCAGTTGACTACAAGATCAAGGACGCAGAGGTGGTTGCGATCCAATACCCTGCCGTCCTGGGAACGGATATTGCCGGGACTGTCGAGGAACTAGGGGAAGGTGTCGAGAATTTCCGCGAAGGCGATAGAGTGTTAGACAATTCTTTGCCCATGTCTGCATAGGCTCAACCGTGGTTTATAGAGTGGCGCATGGCAAGTTCACTAATGACTTTACTGCATTTCAGCAGTATACTTTGACCGCTGCGAGCTTTACAGCAAAGGTAAGTTATGAGAACGTCTGTTGATCACATCGCCAACTACATCTCGTTCCAGATTCCCGCAAGCGAGTCCTTCGATAGCGCAGCCACTGTTCCTGTGGGTTTAGATACTGCGCTGGTGGGCTTGTATGGAAAACATTATGGAGCCGGTATAACCCCTCCTTGGACGAAAAATGTCAGTGGTCATGAATCAAAGAAACCAATTGTCATCCTCGGTGGTTCTTCCTCTGTGGGTTCATACAGTAAGCGAATTGAGACTTAATTCTTCTTCAATTGCATCCTGACAGTATTGCAGCCATCCAACTCGCTCGTCTGTCCGGATTCTATCCTATCATCACTACAGCCTCTGCAAGCAACGAAGAGCTTGTCAAGGGCTACGGCGCAACACATTTCTTTGATCGCAGCCTTTCTGGAAAACAACTACTGGCGGCCATCAGCGAAGTTACTGACGATCCTATCAAACTCGTTTATGACACCATCTCGTTGCCAGAAACACAGTCCGTTGGATGGGAATTGCTTGCAGACAATGGCACGCTCGTACTAACCCTTTATGCGAAAGTCAAAGAAGATGAAGGCAAGGGGCGCAAGATTGTCCAGGCATTCGGAAACCCACATGCCCCCGAAAATGAGGAGCTGTGCCGCAACTCTTGGGCTAGGCTGGAGAAGTGGCTTTCAGACGGTACCATACAGGTTTGTTCTGCGACCATTGTTTTGGATTTTTGTCTCATATTTATGTAGCCGAACAAATATGAAGTCCTCCCAAACGGGCTTGAAGGTATTATTGGAGGACTGGAAAGGTTAAGATTGGGACAGGTGTCTGGAACGAAGTTGGTTGCTCACCCTCAGGAGACACAGTAAATGCAAGGTTGTCAACTTGTTCCGATTTGCCGGGACTTATTTGAATGTACGAGCAGTGTTCATTCCGCATATTCAGGTCACCATAAATTCGTGTCACACTCTATGCATTACCCAATGCCTATCTTATTCTCCAGATCTGCGTCAGCAGTATGTCTGTCCATCTGAAGCGAAAGATGCTATTCGAAGAGCAGTTTGGACTGAACTACCCCCTTTCTACAATTTATCCTAAGAAGAAGCAGAACGCGCTCTGGCGGCTCCTGCAAGAGGTCATCCGAGTTCAATATTAATAACTGTCTTCCAGCCCATATCCGCACCCAGATCTCTTCGCTGCGACAAACTATGCCTGCAGATCTGACATTAAAATTTTTAACCAGGTTGAACAGCTGAGAACTCCCCGCTTCGGGAACTTGCAGACTTGCATTTCATTTCTTGTCACAGAAGTCAGATGGAGGTGCGATCTAGCCCAGGAGACTGCCTCACATATGAAATCAAGGCAGATGAACCTCACGACCTGCTGATCACGCCAAATTCCATTCAATAAATGTTCTTGTTTGTCCATCCATGTGATCTGTATCTCCCCGAGGTGCCTGACTCTGCATAGCAGTCTAACTTCGCAGATGATAAGATTGGACCGAGCCCGGGTCCCAGCTGATTGACGACTCCAATAGGTCACACAGCAGTTCGCCTATAGAAGAGGAACCTCGTTCACCAGCTTTGCGATTGATAGATCGCTTTGGACAGCCTTTCGGTCCATTTTTGCTAGCGCAACAGCACGTCAGAGAATACCAGAGGATTGCATCGAACCATGACATCATTGCACAAGTCAAAGACATAATTTCCGTTGTCATATGGACGTCCAGGTCAATACCGTAGAAGTACCGTAGGTCCGTGTCATCTCTATTGTACGATTCACCTGTTGCACGAAACAAGATTCGAATTCTCACTCGCAAACATTACATTTGATAGTTTGCCTTGGACAGCATTTTTGTTAAGGCGACAGGGCGACGGACTCAGAGAATTCAAGAGAATCGTATCGAATCATGATATCATTGCACAGATTAAAGATATGGCTTCTATTAGCTACATGATGGATACCAAGACACTGGAGATACTGTAGCTGTTCCGAACTTCCAGCCTCCGGGAGAGCGCATACTTCCGAACTCACACATTTATCTGCTGACATAATCTTACGCTCCGCTCTTACAGATCCCTTGTATACCTTCGCACGCTTACCTTGTTTCTATAGGCATCTGGTTTGGACGCTTTATGATGAGCCGAATCGCTGACACTAGTAGCGCTCGCCAAGGGACAGCGGTGCCTCCTTATATTCCAACATGAACGACGGATAACTGGCAAAAGTCTCTTGAAGAAATTTTCTTGTCTCCAACACTACCTTTTGTATTTGTACCATTTTGTTGGACAGCAACTACGTCAGAGCCCTTTGCATTGCCACGAGTGACGAAAGCTCAGAACGACAACGGCCGACAGCCGTGACCCGTTGGACTTCTGCCATATAAAGAGACACTTGAGGAGTACAAGGTGGGCATTCGTTGATTTGTGTCCTTTCTCTCTCTGATACTACACGTCTATACTCATGACTGAATTACACTACAAGGGTGTTGACAATGCATACAGTCGCGACCAAACTGGGACGCAGTCACATCCATGGATCGCACAGACAGTTGGACGTCCATCGCACATCTCGCAGCTTGATCCTGTCGTTCACACTATTTGTTGATTACTTCCATCTCCATCTCGTTTTGAAGCACTTGATACTGATCTATGATATCATCCATGATATCCCGTTAACTTACAGTTTGATTTGTCGTATAGTATATCACAGTCCACATTGTTTTGCCTACGGAAAGTCATCCAGTAACGTGTACACCTACGCCACCGAGTCTCCTACCATTTCAGGCGTCGCACCTCATGCACATTGCGTATGGCGTTATTGTGTAGGGGCCGAGCAGCTGATGCTACAAGAAGTAGATAAGGCATCTTACTAACACCGCCGCCATCTTCCCGTCAGCATGAACTTTAATCGTTTTCCCCACCCACTCTAGTATACCCTCCACATCTCTTTGGCATGTCTCCGCAACAGAAAGCTCTTATTCTTCCCGAAAAGCGGGGTGACTTTGAAGTTGGCTCTCGCGAGATCCCCAGTCCCGGGGCTGGGCAGCTTCTGGTTAAGGTTCAATCGGCAGCTCTGAACCCGATTGACTACAAGATCAAGGACACAGGGGCGGTCGTGACCCATTACCCTGCTGTTCTTGGCATGGATATCGCTGGTGTCGTAGAGGGAGTAGGGGAAGGTGTTCAGAATTTTCGCAAGGGCGATAGAGTGTTAGACAGTTCTTCACTAGGTTTGCACCTGTCTGTATAGGCTCAACGCTCAACGCTAGTTTACAGATTGGCGCATGGCAAGCGTAATAACGACTTTACTGCATTTCAGCAGTACACCTTGACCGTTGCGAGCTTTACAGCAAAGGTTGGTTATGAGAAGGCTTATTGACCATATCGCCAACTACATCCCATCCCAGATTCCTTCAAACGAATCCTTCGATAGCGCAGCTACTGTTCCTCTAGGATTGGATACTGCGCTGGTGGGCTTGTACGGGAAACATTATGGAGCCGGGATAGCCCCTCCTTGGACGAAAAGCGCCGCCGGTCACGAATCAAAGAAACCGATTGTCATCCTTGGCGGTTCTTCCTCTGTGGGTTCATACGGTAAGCGTAGTAAGATTCGCCTATTCGGCCGCATCATGACAGTATTGCAGCTATCCAACTCGCTCGTCTATCGCAATTTTATCCTATCATCACTACAGCCTCTCCGAGAAATGAAGAGCTTGTCAGGGACTACGGGGCAACTCATTTTTTTGATCGCAACCTTTCCGGAAAACAACTGCTGACGGCCATCAGACAAGTTACTGGAGGTCCTATCAGAGTTGTTTACGACGCCGTCTCGTTGCCAGAAACACAGTCTGTTGGATGGGAATTGCTTGCAAATAATGGCACCCTCGTATTAACCCTTCCTGCATCAGTCGAGGAACATGAAGGCAAGGGGCGTAAGGCCATCCAGACTTTCGGAAATCCACACACTCCCCAAAATGAGGAGCTGGGCCGCAACTCCTGGGCTAGGGTCGAAAAGTGGCTTTCAGACGGTACTATACAGGTTTGTTCTGCGACCACTTTTTTGGATTTATGTCTCATACGTGATGTAGCCGAACTATTATGAAGTCCTGCCAAATGGGCTCGAAGGTATTATTGGAGGGCTGGAAAGGATGAGGTTGGGACAGGTGTCTGGAACGAAGTTGGTTGCTCACCCTCAGGAAACACAGTAAATGCACAAGTTGCTGCCAGCTTGTTCGCCAAGGACTCTTTCTTGGCATCAGGGGGCACACAATCAAATTGTACACTAGGCATCGCAATTACAAGTTTATATATGTACAGCTAGGTAGGAAATCGGATGTAAAAGAATGCTTGTGATACTACATACATGCCCAAAAATATTTCTGCCCCTACGGTCCTGAAGTCACATTCTCACGATCATGCCACTGACGCGGCCTAAGTGAACGCGTGAGTCTATCTCTTACCAGTATGTCTTCATCCGCATCCTCATCAAAACCCGCAGAAAAACAACCAGAGAAGCCCAAGGAGGATGATAATCAACCTCACCTGGGGGTCCTTGAAGAAGACGACGAGTTCGAAGAGTTCCAAGTAGCAGGTGATCAATTCAGTCGTCATCTATGTCATCAATGTTTACTGTTATCTTGTAGACTGGGATGATTCTAGCACAGATTTGGCGCACTTGAAGGGCGCTGCACCTGGGGTCGCAAAATCAGCGGGGGATAAACTTTGGGAGGATAATTGGGACGATGACGACATCGAGGATGAGTTCAGCGTGCAGCTACGGTATGCAATTCTCCTCTCGTCTTGATGGTACATTTTCCCAACTCACCCATTGGCTAGGAATGAACTCGCTAAGGCAGGGAAAGCGACTGGGGACCCGATGCAGCAATAATGACATCGTATCAGTGGTTTTTGCCAAGTGACTCGTCCAGTTACTGTAGCATATACAATACTTCAGAAGTTTCATCATCTGCACTATTAAATTTTCAGTGTGTACTAAGTCTCTCACCGGAACTCTGGCTGCGATTAGCCACATCCGTTGAACAATCATATCCACATTAATCAAACAAGACAGGGAGAGCAAGGGTCGTGGAAGGTAAGCCACCTTCAGAAGAATAGTTTTCCTCACGAAACAGGTACATGTCATCAGTGTAGATCTCCGAAGACTGCATCTTAAGTGATTAAGCAGGTATTCATACAACTAAGGAAATATCGTGGTACACAAACGTGAATTATAATCAGGATCATCTGCTTGCAGCGCAACTAAACTTTGGTCTCTGAGTCTGTGTCCTTGATTGCTGAACTTATCTCTTGGCCTTCCGCATATGACACGGTTTCAATTTCGGGAAGACCCATAAGTGAGACATCGAAACCGTGCGCTTCGAGGTATTCCCGGAACTACGTTGCGAGGTATGTAAATGTTGCGGGCAACGGGAGGGATAATCACGCACCTTCGCATCCTCTTCCTTCATACCATCATGGTCCAAGGGTGTCACAAAAAAGTAAACAACGATTGCGCTCAGGATGGCAAGACCGCTGCCAACCCAGAAGGGGCCAGTGTTCCCTTTAGCTGAACTTGAGCCACCAAAATCCTTGACTATGATAGGGAACACTGGACGGACAAACAAAACACTCAGTTCACCCGTCGTACGGTAACTGTATGGCACCTACCCCAAGTTCCAATAAATGCGCCGATTTTTCCAACAGCAGCTGCAAAACCGTAATACTGGCCACGCACAGCAGTAGGTCCGGACTTTGCACCCAATACACCAAGGCAGTTTCCGGGACCTAGGCAAAAAAAGAGTTCAGAAGACGAAGAGTGATTGCGCAACACCACGCACCAAACTCGCCGAAGCTCAGGAAGATGCCGTACACCACCTGATGAACCATTTAGCATCTGGCAATTGTCTGTGTTAGAAAGATACCTACAGCAAAAGCGCCAATGTGTTGTGACAGTTGGGTATAAAGGCCACTCATGATAAATCCAATGACCGCTTGCGCGAGAAGGCCAGTGATCTAACATGAGATTCAGAAAAGGCACACCGCATCTGCTTAATAATACTCACTATAGTGACCTTTGGACCCAAAAGATCAACGAAGAAGGCGCCCACAACGGTGCCTGCAGAATGTGAGCTCTGGAAGTTCGTCGTCGTCCAATAGACTAACCTGGGATGTAGAACAAGCTGCGAAATCATGTAAATAGGAGCATGAATCATGAACGGGTGAAGGCTTACTTGATCACAACAGACCAACCAAAGACAACGGTGAGGGATGAATTGCCGCCGGTAACGCTGCCAAAACGGTTAAGTTCTACTTATATCAAGAAAACAAAAGCAGATGCATACGCGTTGGTGACTGTGGATGAATAAAGTCCGAACTACAAAAAAAAATCAGTGATAATTTATTCCGTAAGTGTCTGACAGCATACTGGGTATCTGGAGGTATGTGAGCAACTAGTCAAGAATGCATAGAAGCGGTTGCAGACATACGTGATGAAGTCATAGATGAACCATACTAGCGAGATGCCAAACAGGCCACGCCAGTATCTTTTAATGATTAGTCTGTATGGGATACGGACATGTTTCATTGAATCGCGCTTGTAGCGATTAGGTTCCTCCATGCGCAGCCGCCAAAAGAAGACAGCAACAGCAGGAACTACACCAAGCCCAAGCGAGAGGCGCCAGACGGCACGAAGGTGGTTGTCCCCGAATCTGAAAAGCAACTGTTAGATATAGATTACAAGATGTGGAAGTGAATGGCGTCACGGACATCCAGTAAAGTACTAATGGTACGAATGCTCCAATAACAAAACCGGCATCGATCATAGTGTCTGAGCAGCGTGTTTTAGAATACTGGTGATAAAGGTATTTCACCACATTGGCTCACTCGTTGCAAGCACCAGCCATCGGTGTTGCGAGTTCTTAGCAATGCCCTCTTCTTCCGACTGTTCAGATGCAGCCACGGAGCCGCAAGGGTATTCAGCGCCGACGCCAATTCCAAGAAGGAAGCTGTGTTAGAAATAATGAGTGGCAGAGATGATCTCGCACCGGCACATGTACGTACCGGCATGCAATAAGCATAGCAAGCATTCCATGGAGGCTGTGATTAGCACCAGACGAAGCAGCTGAGAGACCAGAAAATATTGCAACGATCCCAGTTGCGGACATCTGTTTCAAAAGCATGACTTGCGGGTTGCTCGATTGAGGTTGACATCTACTTACCATACCAAATTTGCGCCCAGCTTTGTCGGAGAGATAGCCAAAGGTGAGCATACCCACCACGGTGCCTGGTACGATTTAATTGCAGATCAATGAAGGAGACTCAGTTACGCACCTGCGAAGGCGACACTAGAGAGTGTGGTGCTGTAGTTTGTAGTGATGCCGCCGGAACCAGTGCCGTATATGCGTTCCAGAACTGTAATTCACATTAGACCTTCAGTGAATTTGATGGTAAAAATCGCTTACGAGTGTTGACTGCAAGACAGTTGAATTTGAGGTCAAAGAGGGCTCATCAAGTTGAATAATTACCCACCAGCACCAATGACATTGTTGGCATAACCTACGAACGATTATGAAATTCACGTTAAAGGAGACAGATGTTGTACTGCTTGCCATCAGAAAACAGAGCCGTTCCACAGCTGTGAGAAAGGAGTATCGTGATCAATTTGAAGATGAGAAACAAACACAAGATAACGTACGCAAAGATGAGAGAAATACTACTCAGGGCGACCTTCTTCTCAGTCATGGCGTTGAGGGAGGCAGTGATAGAGGACGTCGACAAAGAGCAGGCAAAGAATCTTTTGTATCAATTCCACCTCTTAAAATAGAATCGTGGCTGAATCTTATAGGTGATCCGGGCCCTGGAGACGCATACGGTCAACAACTTGAAGCATTTTCTCTGCCATTTTCGCTCAATGTTGATTGGTGGCATACCAGCAAACGTGTGCTCGTTGACGCATTCTACTTCGTGCAAGTCACAGTCCAGGTAAGCTGGTGCTCTGCCGTCCGAGGTGCCCGTTACAGGCATTGAATGCAATACATATCAAGATGCTTACTGGGGTTAGAACGTGATTGTGTATCACGATGTTCCTGTGTGCGTGTGTGGCAAACTCCAATCAGCTTGCAGGCCATGTGAGCAGCATTTCCTTTCCTGTCTGATACTTGGCCAAAGCTTGGGGCGGGATGTCCCGGGACACGGCGGCTGTGCGACGACCCCCTGCTCGCTGTGTGTGTCGACGAACGGAGGTTGATGGACGAAGAGTAAACCGGCAGGAATGTTAGCGTCGATGTGGCATGTAGTATGTACAGTGTAAGTGTCACTCAGAAACGGCAACTCTCCCTCGGCCGCAATGTTGTGATTAAATAAAATTTTGATAGGAAACATATAAAAGAACGTAAATCTAGACTTGTAAGTTGTAACCAAATATTACTATTGGTTACCACTATTTCGTGCAACTCCCTACTAGATGATTCAAGTACTTATCCGGCCTCGCTAGAGTGCCGCATTAGGTCAGCAGTGGCGGCGGGCAGGGTTTCAGACTCTTAACACTTGATCGCTTCCCTTGCGGTCTTCCTAGTCCACATCCAAAGTATCAGTACTTCAGTGGCAAGGAGCTTGTCCAATAAACTTCAAGAACAAATTACGCCATCCTGGGCATCATCGGAAATGTCAACTTCCGAAGCTCACAGGACACTGAAGCGCCCCCGTCATGATGATAATGAATCTATGTCAGCGGGCAGAGCTTCTGGTGTTCACAATGGTGCAAAGGTGAAGCGCGAACAAAGTCTGACGCCCCCGCCTCCACAACGGAAGTTGGTCATGTTCGGGACAAAACGCTTTGCCCCCTTTCCCTTGGACTGTTTGCCTCCGTTCTCTGGGTACAAGCGGAATCGAAGGATATGGGCCAAGAAGTGTCAAAGTGAAAGTGAGGCTCTGAAGCTTCAAACGGAAAAGTTGCTCATCAGGTATGTCGACTTGCATTGGATGGACTTGTACTCTGATCCCTGGCAGAGACGATGGTGTGATAGTCGACTGGTAAGTTATACGTATGGTGTGAAGTAATTGGCATTGAATATACTGTGATAGGAAGAGTTCGATTCCAGTTTGGTCAGACACATTGCAACCAGCAGAGCTTGATCTTGCTGCTACGATCGCACTTGCACATCAGGCAAATGCTCAACAGCACAATTCTTCTCTTCACCACACACCAGAAGCCCCTTCTCAATCGGCCGTATCACTTCCGGTTACTGGTGTCGATGATGATGATGATGTTCTTATAGTATCCCCACCCACACAAAAACTCCCCATCCCACCTCGGCCACGGAGAAATGTAGCATCGCCATCTGTATCATCCTCTCCCGCGGGAGGCTCCAAATCTCAGGCACCCCATAAGCCCGATCCTCCATCTGCGGGTGTTCCCGCTCCATCCAGGCCTCTGAATGACTTTCCGACGATCATGATAGGACCCGATGAAGAGGAAAAAATGTCGAAAATGACGATGGAATATCTTGAAAGGTGTGTTTCCAACTTATGTTCCTGGGATTTGCAACCGGAATTAGCTTAATCTTATCGTTATTGCCGCTGGCCGATTTCAAAGATACTTCCAAACGTTCGATTCGGATCGTGCCAGTCTTGCTTCTGCATATTCTAGCAACGCGTGCTTCTCGTATCGAGAAGTCAAGTGCTTCTCTCCTGGGTTGCCCCACTTGCAACCCCCGTTACCTCGTAAGTTTTTCGTCCCGGATATCTATCGTACCTTTCAATCAAGCCCGCATGTTCATTGGTACCTAAGCATCTGACTCTATCAAGCATACCCGGCTCGACATTACCGCAACCCTCCTTTCCCTTCCTCCTTTACAGCTCTTGCCGTTGACTGGATTAGCAGCAGACATCGACTACGACATCATGTGGCTTGGTTCCCCCATTGGAATGTTCGCCATCTGTGGGGGTGTCCATCACGGGCATGCCTCAAAGCGACCGGTGACACATAGTTTTTTGTTGCGCCAGAAGGAAGCATATGAAGAAGATGCGAGGGCTGACGGCGTGTGGCCACTCGTTGCTGTGGCACATCAGATGATGGTATTTGATGGCCCGTAGATATAGCTCATCTTCTATCAGTGCTTGGTTGTGAACTCGCTCCTGATTATGGTTAGAGATATATGATTAAATGTAAGTATCCGAGTCTTCGATCAGACTATAACATAGTTTGATATGATCTTCGCCTCCATAGCGCCCTATCGAGAAAATCTGAAGCGGTAGTCCTCGGAGAATGACGCTAGCTTGGCATATGGATATATCCATTACTCGGCACCTCTGCACAGTTGACGATAGGGCTATTTGCATCCCATTTTCACAACCATGGAAAACATGGATGCGCGGTAGCACATAAGATATGTACTACATTCTCCTAAAATATGGCCAGCTCGGACTTCGCACTTCACACATGCCATAAGATATGTGACGTGTCCGCGAAAATGAATACCCTTGATTGCGCTTAAAAGGACAATTGTGTGCAAGTCTACGTGATTCTGGAAAATCGGCACGTAAGTCATCACGTTTGTTGTACCATATCAGGCTTTCAAGGATAAGATCTAGAAGTCACTAGATATGGTCCAGGCCTATACAGCAAAACGTCCATGTACCGACGGCAAGGCCCTGAGATATCTGCACTACCGACTTTGACATTCCCTCGGAGTTCGCCGTCATTGGCATGTACTAAAAAACCATTTCAAACGACAAGCCTGTCAGATAGAACGGGATAGTTGCCAGGAATGAACAGGTATCTTGATCGAGGGAAACCGGGAGGATAGACCGGGTAGATTAAAGAACGAGTATGTACAAGCCTGGATCCTGAATGCTTCGCGGGAGAATTTTCAAAAAGTGGACACGGCGCCGACACGTGGTTCGAAGAGGTGGAGCTCGATCTGCGAAGCTGACGGCACACTACGATACATGGAGCATCTGAAACGCTGATATGCACATGGTACATATATGTAGTTCGTCTAGAAGCTAACGGAATTCAGTGCTCACGAGGCTCTCCGCATTGCGGAAATGGCAAGCCAATGGTAGGCCGTGCAGGGTCCGCATACCCAAAGTGAAGGTAAACGGCAGGAGAAGTTTTACCGTGTTCCATGACCCACGGATTCTTGACATCGATGGTTGAAACACCATCGATATCGCTGTGCACAATGCACTGGATATTCATTGCAAGCATGGAAAATGCTGTCATGAACCGGCTGCCGAAATTAGCGCATAGCCCTTGCAACAATAATCACTGCGATGAGTGCGCATGCCAAGCACTGATAGAAAAAAAACAATATGCGAGATTGCACTAACCATCTGTATGATGAGTTTGATCTAGCGCTCGCTTATTATTAGTCAAGAACGCAATGACCAAGGAAGCTGCTTCTCGGCACACAGTGCAAAATTGAAAGAGTACTAGTAACTTGTAAGCTCAGGTTGAGCTTGGAGCTAGCGTCGTATAAGTAGTAAGGCAACGTGTTGACGATGATCTAAGAGTGCAAGCGGGTACCGAGGCGCACCGGCGCTGTAAGAGAGGAACGTGTCGGCCGAGTACAAATAAGGAAATTCAAAGTCCGCCTAGTTGGGTGCTTTCTCTCCATCCGCTCCTTGTCACAAGTACACCAGTCCCGTCCTCTACCTTCCCACAGCTGCGCTTCTGGACTGGTGGCCTTCAAAATTATTAACTTTTCATCCAGATGACGACCCCTCACGTTATAGCCTCGTCTTCGGGGCACCACTCTCAAAGTGCCACTTCTAATGGTATCGTCGGAAACCACTTTCGTGTCGGCAAGAAGATTGGCGAAGGTTCATTCGGTGTTGTATTCGAAGGTGAGTATCATACCTCCAAGTTCCTGCTTTTCCAGAACTTTTTGGGCTCGAGAGTTGCATGGACGGTACCAACAGAGTCATTCGACCTTCTAAGCGCCCGTCTTACGACCACCCAATGTCATGCAGAAGGGTGCATTTCGGTCCATGGGTCGCCGGTGGGCGATCATCATGTCATGGCTACTTAGTAGTAGCAATGGGACTAGATCAACTGAGCTCCGCGTATCCCGTCAGAACGGAAATTATTTACCTGCGGCTTTGAGCCAATTTTTGTTACCGGTGTTCTTTGCTATTTGTTCCTTTGACTCACCACAACTCTTCACAGGCACAAAGCTTCTTACAAGCCAACCTGTCGCCATCAAATTTGTACGTTTGCCATGAGGTTCCTTCTAATCGTGACTCGATTTTGACGTATTACTCAGGAACCTCGAAAGTCCGATGCTCCTCAGTTACGGGATGAATTTCGATCATACAGAACACTGAATGGTACAGGTATGTGTTAGTGTCAGTAATTTCTCTCACCCGATGGTAATATGTCATTATTATTAGTGGGTGTTCCGCAAGTACACCACTTTGGGCAGGAGGGACTCCACAATGTCCTAGTAATTGACCTTCTGGGCCCTAACTTGGAGGACCTCTTCGACATGTGTGGCCGGAAGTTCACCATTAAGACTGTATGCATGTCTGCGAAACAGATGGTAAGTTTGGACCCATACAACGAGCAGGAATTGTTATGTTGTTTGGTTATTTTCTCTCTCAATTCATTCCGTCGTTCCGTTGCAGTTGTTCATGTCTTCTTTTTTATATATAGATATCTCGCATTCAGTCCGTCCATGACAAGTCGCTCATTTACCGTGATATCAAACCTGACAATTTTCTCGTCGGGGTCCCTGGAACAAAAACCTCCAACACCATCCACATTATTGGTATGTCTTTTGCAAGTTGTCTATGTTCCTCTTTTACGTCCTCCGATCGCACCGATGTATCCCTGAATTTGCGCAGATCTCATCTATTGATTGTCTCTCAACAAACATACTGACTATCCCTTGCAGATTTCGGCATGGCGAAGCACTACCGAGATCCCAAGACAAAAGTTCACATTCCTTATCGTGAGCGCAAGTCTCTCTCAGGCACTGCCCGGTACATGTCGATCAACACGCATCTTGGCCGTGAGCAATCGCGCCGAGATGACTTAGAATCGCTAGGTCATGTATTCATGTATTTCTTGCGCGGCGGCCTTCCCTGGCAAGGCCTTAGGGCCGCAACCAATAAGCAGAAGTATGAGAAGATCGGTGAAAAGAAGCAGACTACACCGATTGCGGAGTTGTGCGAGGGTTTCCCCGGTAAGTTCTCTTTTAGTTCATTCAGTGGCGTCTATTTTCTTCGCTTGTGGATGTGCTGGAGTGACAACATGATTTACTGATCGGTCTCTACTGATTCAGAGGAGTTCGCGATCTACATGAACTACGTCCGCAAACTCGGGTTTGAGGAAACTCCCGACTACGATTTTCTCCGAGAACTCTTTACCAAAGTGTTGAAGAATATTGGCGAGCAGGATGACGGCATCTTTGACTGGATGTTGATCAATAACGGCAAAGGTTGGGAGGCCAGTAATGTATGCAATGTATTCTCATCATGGAAGCATATCGTAACTGAATGTTTACAGACACCCGCGTCATTACTAGCACAGGCTCACGCCACTGTTAACGTACCTCATACTCCTCGTCACCGTGAGACCAGTCGCCGCCCGCGGGCACAGCTTACAGATGGTTCAGCGCCTTCTACTCCTCTCGTCCTCGCGCCTACTCCCGCTCACATCAAGAACAGCACTAGACGTCCAGGCACACGAGAAGGACACGGTAGTCGAGACCCTGGCACTCGTGCTGATATCAGTGTACAGCCCATTGCTCCCGTTAGTAGGCGCGCGAGCCAGACACCCCGAGAGAGTTCAGCACTCGCACCTCACCCTTACGCCACAGCGCCCACATCCTCGGGATACCGGGCCAGTAACGGTTACGGCAGGCATTCCCCAGTTACACATGCTGCGAATATGACCAATGGCAATAATCCCGTTGGGCGCAACGATGCTTCAGATTCGTTCCTCTACGGCGCGCAGGTCCACGCTGCCAAAAACCCGACCAACTCGCGAGAGGACACAACCGCAGGGACGCTGACCCGTGATGCTGGACAGATGCGTGGAATGACTGCGTTTGAGACTCAAAGGCATGGTGTTGATGATGTGGATGATGACAGACATGCTAAGCGGAAGGGCTTCTTCTCCGGCCTGTTTTGCTGCCGGGCATAATCAACACCACTGGATGGTGTAGCGCTGGTCGCTATCCGTGGTACTTCGGCTTCATTGGTAAGTTATTCGGGCAGTCTCGGCTGATATCCGGCTAATTCGCCGCTTATAGGTATTAGAAACTCTGACGACAACGCGCACGATCTATCAATCATGGCTATCGTACATACTTATCTATCTTGCTAGCTTCTCCTCGGGATTCCGTATTGCTTTCCTTTCTCCGCAGGTCGACCATGTCACACCGTCATCATACCCCTCACGATCGTTTCGAACCATTCCGTCACAGTCTTCATCAAGTTTCCACCTGATCCTGTGGCTGGTCTTGGGTGGCGCTCAATATTCTCTTGTTTATTGCTTCCATGTGTATTATCTACAGACCCTTTAGGATATTCATTAGCCCCACTACTTAGCCATGGGGCGACTTTCTGTTACCAGGCCAAGTCGAGGGCAATAATAAATATTGACTGCTTTCGATTTGCGCGGATCAAGTTTAATATGTGTTTCATATCGTCGAGGACAATTACGTCTGGACTGGGCCTATCGATCCGGGCTATGATCAAGTAGCCCTTCTCAAGGTTCTAGCTAGGAATGCTTTTTGATATGATATCACGTTCGACATCTGACTCAAATATGACAGCAGACTTTGATTATCTTCAAGGTAGCTATTCATATTCCGCAGCCCGATGTCAGCGCAAGAGAAATAAATAATATACGACTAAAGACAGCAAAGCAGCAGAATCATAGCACTATTGTACAGGATCAAACTTATTACAATCAACGCGGTTGGATACGTGTCAGTCGACCGCGGTCACCGCCTGACTGACATAATGGCGACATTCCTCCGCACACCTCCACAAGACCCCACAATCTATTTCCGCTCTTTCCATGCACCCTCTACGCCTAGTTTGGACCAACGCAGGACTACATCCGAATCAAGGAATGGGTTTCTGTCGCGAAGTTCTGCGGCGCCCTCGTATCATCCATCAAGCTTGGCCTTCCCCTCTGCGACCCATCCCATTGGGTGCTTCTCCATATGTACTTTCATCAACGCTGTTTTTACTTCTTGGAATAGCACGAGTTGTAAAAGAGTGGGGAATGCTGGCGCTGCCTGCACTATATTTCCCCTCAGGGTTGGGGGCGTCTGTCACGGTGGGTCTGAAGTTGACGTAAGGCGTTGTAGTGGGATATGCGCCCGATGGCACCGCATAAGGGGTATCGGCAGGATCAGGCTCTGATACCACATAAGTGCGCGTGCCAGCTGATGATATTTGGGGTTCAGGAGAGTGGTCATGTTGTTTTTCGTACTGTGACGCCGACACTGGCGATGCGTTCGAAGCCGGAGAGTTGAGCACCACAAAGGGCGAGTGAAATGAACGCTCTAGTGCAATAATACGGGTGTTAGACGACTGTGTCAATGAGCGTGCATGCTTCGAAAAGACGCGGAGAATGTTGGACATGGGGATGATCAGTTGGTGGTCGTGAAGACGTGGCCTCAGTAACGTACGATAAACGAGCTTCCGAGTCGGGGACTCGTGACGTAAAAGCCGCAGTTCAATTGGACATTTGCTTCCGCGACATCATGATGCCATCAGCTTGGTGTTTCGCAGGTCGCTTGCATGAACGGAAGACATCCGCTAGCGCTGACAGTGACGCAAAAGGTATGACTGCTTGCAGCTGTCCAGTCGTGGTGAATTGACTGACTGAACCTTTAGCCATCGTCAATCTTCCCTTCAAGATCTCGTCTGTTCCTCACTTCCAGGGTGCGGCCCGCGGCGGTCTCCGCACCATCAACGCAGGTTGGCGTGGAACAGAGTTGGCGCAGCATCGTGTAAAGTCGTATACTTAATTAATAGAAACAACATAGAACTGATGCTGTCAATAGCGCTAACTCGGACTCAGCCACGCGGTGGGCGAACGCCCTGAACTGGCTTCTGGATCGGCCACTAAAATAGTGGGCAACACATCCGAAGACATCGCTCATTTTCCCTGGGTATTTGGCGGTCAGATCGAGCGGCTTAATTCTGCACTATTCCCAGGTCAAGACAGGTGGTTACGCCTTTGAACGGACTTGTTTTCTTGCTTGAGAAACGCATCATGATGTCGGGGAAGCAGAGATCTTTTTCCATTCAGGTCATGCCCGATTTGAACCTGACTAGCTCACCATACCCTGACCTTTCCCTAACGGGCAACGATCCTCGCTTCTTTATATCCGCTGGGGTTCATGTCCCCTTGGTCAGACCATATCAGCAACATGTAACTCGTTTCACAATGTCGCCCTGTGATTCCTCATAAGATTCGTTGAACCATGCTCAACACGCATGAAGCGAATCCGGTCACACAGCTCGCAGCCTCCATCAAAGACGTATATTTAGGGTTTGACATACAGTGCGTCCACTTACAAATGTTTGATCGTTGAATGCTTACTAGATCATATCAACATCCAGTGCAACTTTTCTAGGGTACTCCGCGGCCCCGAACGTTCAGACTCACTTCCTCATCGCGACATGAAACTTTTTTCCGGCGTCACATTGGGTTCGCCCCATTGTGTTGTTGCGACCGCATTTACCCCCTTGAAAATGGAAATGCGGCTAGTCTCCATAATGCCTGACACTCTCCTCTAAAGGATACATTCAATTGTCATGATGGAGCCTCAGTTACGAGAATTGTCCGCGTATCATGACTGCTCCTCGGAGAGCTTTGTGGTACATTCATCCCGACGCCGTTGGAAATTACTTGGTCACCTTTTTCTAAAAACAATACTGCGCCTCAAAACCTCTAGGCTCTTCTCTGCGCTCTGTGCGGCGTTATTCCTCTGTCAATCTAACCAAGAGATAAGCCCACAATCCATTCAGGGTGCACCACAGGATCAGCACCACATGGATGTTGAAGTGACGACCTCGCAACAATCTAGGAGATGAGATAAAATTTGAACCCTATTCCAATGGAATGATGTGATATTGGAGCGATCATTCTTCATGGCCTTTCATTAACCGTTCATCGCCGCTAGTTTGCGCTTCGTGTAATTCATTTTTCTGACCTATCACTTACCAGATGGACCTCGACCAGCAATCACGATTACGCTGATGCTATAATGTGCCTGTCGCCGCATTTCGCATGGTGATCTGTCAGGGTGCTCGAGGAAGTCATCTTCCCATCGATTTTGGTTAGTAGGAGTTTCTTCTGTATGGAAGGGCTTACCAAGTTCCATCGAGCGTTTGTTCTTAATCTTGGTCGTCGTGTTCGTGCATTTCTGGCGCGGTTATGGGATTCTATTTTGTAATAGTGGCACTGCGGAGCTTGTGTTGATCCAGGGGAATCAGGGCACAGAACCGTGGCCAGTCAATTTGGGCTATCTGGGGTGGCGCGTGTTTTTTTTTTCATGTCAGGCTTCCCATTCTGACTGCGTCTCGTTAATAAGCCGAAATGGTATCGGTATCTGATCAAATCCATACATGGTCAGACAGGGTTATTCAAAGCCCCCCCAGCATCCAGTATGTCTGTGGCTTCCGAATATCGAGGCATATCGTAGTAGGTCGGAACCGAGGCAAATGTGTCCATTCCAACCCACGCAACTGCAGTTCTACCACTAGCCTCTTATGTTGCATAAGCGCTCACGATTTCGTGCTGTTCGGTTGGTAAAGCAGTCTTCGGCAATGAAAATGCTTGCATGCAAAGTATATCTCAGATTGTTATCCGCAATACTGGCACTATTACACGTCATGATCTGGATGTCACCCCCAATCCAACTGTTCTATTCAGAAGGAATGACGTCACTGTTTGCCAGTGACTGCGATGATTAATAGCAGAAGACAGTCACCTAGTCAGTTGATTTCTTGGATCTTGGACTGGTTGGTCGCTCGGCGGCCTATTCCTCGATGGGCTCTTGAGATCTCGACCGTATCTAGGTCCGGACCCTGGCTGCCCAAGTTAGATTATATTATTTCGGGTTGGACTTGAAATAACAACGCCCATTAGTTCAAAGTTCAAACGACCCACACATCCGTCTCTTTCATCCCCGCCTCTTGTAAGATAAACTCATCATTTGTACATAAAATTGCCGAGTTGCGGCATATTCCGTACCAGACCTAAAAAGGTATTACTAAGTAGAAATGTGTTATTTGTGAATGAGCCACCACAGGTAGGAGACTGCGACCCTGGTTTCCGCTTGTTGAGCAGCAGAGATGATCATTTCAGACCAGAAAGAGTACACAAGTCATGCCGATCCCCCGGAAGTGACAACCTAGCAGGAAAGTGGCACAGGCACGCGAGGACCTGGAAACCCTGCACATTAACTTAAGTCCACGGACATCACTCAGGTGAGTGCACATCCTTCTCGGCACTTGTCGCTTTCCGTCACCGCGGCTTTGCTTGCCTAATATTGTTGGACTAACCGAGTTTTGCCCCGTACGTTCCATTTGCACTTGTCGTACAGGCTAGCTTACTCCATATTCATTTGATTGTTCCGTTCCTCTAAGTAACCAACTCCCACCCGCTCCTTGTGGGGCCAAATCTATCCCATATCGACTTTCCGGGTGATTGTTATCTATTTCCATCCGACTTGCCGCCATCTCTGTTTAGATGTTGGTCTCTGCGAGTCAAAATCTTCATCTAGCCCTTGGCCAATATGTGCTACTAGATTATGTCGAATTCTTCTTTTTGATTCCGATGTCCGAAATTTCGCCAGCCTCTTAAATACAAGGTTTCGTATCGGCTTGCAATATGTGTCCCCAATGCCCACATACTCCATCGATGAAAACATGTCTCCGCTGTCCCTGCAAGGTGGCTTTCTTGTAGTGGTGGCCGCCGGCCTTGTGAGTGGCCAATATATGCCGTGTATTATCATATCGCGTTCTGACCCTGATTGTTGGTAGCTTTGTCATTTTATATTCAAACGTCACGAGCCCACTAGTCCGCTCTCCCACCTAGGCTTGCTCATTGTAGTTCCGGCCATCCTTTCGACCTTGTTTTTGCCAAACTCATCAACATTTACGCGCGCATTCGGTTTTGTTTACCTTTTGTATTACTCTACTGTTCTCGTCTCTGTGGTCGTATACCGTCTATCCCCCTGGCATCCGCTTGCGAGATACCCTGGTCCTATCCCTTGCCGCATCTCCAAGTTCTGGATGGTATGGGTCTCTCGTGATGGAAAACAACACATTTACTACTCAAAACTACACCAAACGTATGGCGACGTCGTCAGAATCGGTAGATAACCTCTTGACTCAATGCTTATTATTGGATCTGACCACCATTTCTCTTGATCTAGGGCCTAATGAGCTATCAATAAGAGATGTCAATGCTGTTGTCCCGTTGATGGGTAGCAATGGGTTCCCAAAAGGACCTCGTCAGTGATTTAATGTGCTCTGATATGTGGCGCCCGGCCCTAATTTAGATTCACAGACTGGGACGGACGCATGGCTGAGCAATCAGCCACTAGAACAGTTATCGCGGTGAGGGATCCCGTGGAGCATGCGCGGCGGAGAAAACCCTGGCACAGGGCTTTCAGTGTTTCTGCACTGAAAGGTTACGACGAGATCCTTGGGAAGCGAGTTCAACAATTCGTGACAGTTCTCGAGCAACAAACACAACCCTTCAACCTCGCTGAGCTCATAAGTTATTTCACGTGCGCCTCCTCACTTCTCTACCTTTTCGTGCCTGACTTAGACGAGACAGGTTTGACTTCATGAGTGACATGGCGTGAGTGCACATGTTATTTGAATATTTCTCATCCAGCTTAACGATTTCCCAAGATTTGGCGGAGGTTCCGAGATGTTGCGTGACGGTGATAAGGACAACACTTGGCATCTGCTCGAAAATGGTCTTCCGTGAGTATAGCAAAGGACAATAATACCATAAAGAAAGACTAAAATAATGTTATATTCTAGAACTGCCCTAGTTCTGTCCCACGTGCCTTGGCTCGGAAAGTACTACGCCAACTTGCCAGGAGTCGGGGAGGGCCTCAAGAAATTCCGAACGTTCTGTCAAGCGCGCGCTATGCTCAGGAGGTCCGCAGGTTCTCTGTCTAAAGACCTCTTTCACTATCTGGTAATTGTTTCAATCATTTTTGTTGTTTTTAGTTTTGTTGACAGTCCTTAGATTGACGAGGCGGGTCTTGAGCGTCATACGTCGCCTCCAACCTTTGCGGAAGTGGCATCTGATGGAGTCCTTGCTATAGTAGCCGGGTCTGATACCACAGCAACCACCTTAAGCTCTCTGTTCCTGTCACTTCTGAGAAATCCTCAAACGTACTACCGGCTCCAAGCCGAAGTCGACAAGTTTTTCCCTCCTGGCGAAGATCTGCTTTCTACAGTTCATCACCCTCATATGAGTTACCTCAATGCCGTAATGCACGTACTCGAATCTTTTTTTTACCGATACACTGACATCTGACACTGGTTTTCAGTAACGAAACTCTACGGCTCTTCCCACCAGTTCTCAGTGGAAGTCAGCGTGGCGTTCCGAGAGGCGGTGACGACAAGTTTGTTGGCCCTTAGTAAGTTCATTATTTATATACCAACTCTAGCGAATCTAACTTACGCTTGCCATAGCTTCTTACCCGAAGGCACTAATGCATTCGTTCATACTTATTCCCTTCATCGCGATCCTCGTAACTTCTCCCCGTCCCCTGACACATTCTGGCCGGAGCGCTGGCTCAAACCGGAAGAGCGCGCGGTGCTCTCATCATTTGATGCCAAGGGCCTTGATAAATTCCCAATTGTCCATGATACCAAGGCTTTCGTTCCGTTCTCATTCGGTCCCATGCATTGCGTTGGCAAGCAGCTGGCATATCAAGAATTACGTATGGCGGTTTGTGCGATGATGCACCGACTAAACTTCAGCTTTGCTCCTGGATACAACCCAGAGTCCTGGGAACGCGACTTGAAGGATTATTTTGTTGCCATGAAGGGGGGCCTGCAGGTTGTCTTATCTCCACGGAATCTAACTGCTTGAACGGCCTGAGAGTTGCACAGACGCGATGGTTATCTTACAGCGCTTAGTTATTGATCATTCATGCATCCATCTAATCTCGTTATCACGGATGTATCTATGCAGTGACCAGTTCTCTTGTACTCACTGTGATTGTATTAAATTTGTCTGGGAGCCGATCGAAGTCATCTTCAATTTGTATCGGGAATCTGAAGGATGTTCAGGGCATCATCTGGCGTCATGGATCAGACTCGTCAGGTCCACCGGTCGCATTTCAATGTCCCAATATAAAAATCATAGCACCGGATGAGGAAGCACCGAGACAGAATATTATTTCTATCTCCGCATCTCAGAAATTCGGAATCCCTCACAAATCAGTAGATCATCCATCAAAATAAAAATAATTGGAAACACACGGGAGCTTCGAGATATCCACCAATAGCCAATGAAACATTATTATCAAGCCCCGACGCGAGCAGAAAGAGTTATATGTGCTTCATTCTATCACGAGTTGATGACTTCACAAATAAAGGCTATCGGGTGATGGAGCTAATCCTGTGTTATCGCTTGGCAAGAGATATCGATCAGTCCCGCGCGCTGCTGTTACTTTTGAAGACATTTGGACCCGTAGGCACTTGGTCAGGAGAACGAGATCTCAGAAGCAAATCTGGTTTCACGGCACCGGGAGAAGTGTATAAGAACGTTGTTCCTCGGAGAAGCAACGGGAGGGAAATCAGGTGCATGCAAAGACTGCAAAAGGATATAGATTTCTCAGTAAACTGCGAGTCAAAGGCCCTGACTTGTTTGAACACCGGCCGAATGCTCGGAGCATCCTCGTGCATCCCTTTGAGGGATAATGATGCTTGAGCGGCCAGAAGTCGACAGAAGTTGCCAATAGTCACTGCGGAGCCTCGGACAAACGTTGGACACCGAATTTCAACCTGAACGTAAGAACGTGATTCGGAGTATGTAAAGCAGACAAATACTTGGTTTACTATTCAATTGAGCCTCGAAGAGCTGTGGTCGGCTCAGCGGCCGACCGGTAACACTTGTAAGCATTCATGACGCTCTTGTGGATCGTGACTCCACCCAAAACGGACCTTCGAAAAGCTGTATAATTCCTCAATCATCGCTGGGTGAGTTCTAGTACTGCTATTGTAGGATGACGGTGAAACGCACTATGCAAAACTCGGCCCGTTCAGAATGGACTCTCGCAAAAACCCCATTGGCAGCAGGTGATATTCCAATGAGACCTTAGAGCCACGATGCCGCATGCCCGGAGTCCTCTAGAACCGCACGCGTAAGTTCCGGTATGAAAATTCGTTGTGTCGTCAGAGTTATTCGCAATTTGGCAAAAAGAGCGCAACTCAGTTCCATTGACATAGTCGACGGTAGTAGAGGGGGAAGAATCCATCTGAAGAAGTTACTTTCTTAAGAGTAGTTCTCCAGTATCTGTCCGAATAACGTCGCAAGTTGCAGACGCGGGATCCTCGGGCGATGCGCAGGTGCACCCAAAAATTAAATAAATAAAATGAAATCGATTCTGAGAGTGAGGGAAGAGGAATCACGGAGAGCAAAGTAAAAACGGTTGATTAGTAGAAGCTACGACTTGAAAACATGTGCATTGAAGGAGTGAAATAGGACTATTCCAATGAATCATCTACATGGTTAATCGCAACATCACAATGTCACGACGATACAATTGAAGAATGCCGAAAGCTGGAGACAAAGTCAGCGACGGGCCGAACCGTGCTGTCCGGCGTCAGCATTGGCGATGGCAACAGGAGGTGGTGCTTTGGATGCAGATGGCAGTGCTTGGGTTTCGCGGATGGATGTTCTTGAGGAACGTGCTAGCTTGGGCACGCTGGGATGAAGAGTACTAGATGCCACGCTGGCTGCGGAGGGAATGCATAAATTGATTTGCTCGACCAAAAGATTGGCGCGCTGATGGTACTGCAATTGAGTTGAAACAAAACATACACAGCGTCTTGGTGGTTGACCAGCTGATCAGTGTGGTACTACTACCGAAGAAATGCGGTCACGTGCATGTAGGTCAGCATTCTAATTTCTGAACGTCAGTACTTACTGGCCTACAGAACGAGAGTTACTTACAATCAGTACTATCATGTCGCTTGTGCTGGCTGTGAATGCTGGCTCGTCATCGCTCAAAATTTCCCTCTTCCGCCGTTCTGCTGATAATGCTGCAAATCCGGCATTACTCCTATCCTCGTCCACATCATCCATTTTTACCCCTCCAGCCAGGTTCAAGTTGAGTTTTGTCGCACTTCAACACAGGTCGTTGAGCGAAGAAGTCGACTCAATCTATGATCATGAGTCGGCGTTTAAGCACTTCTTGCATCGCCTCAAGGAAGAGGCGAGCATCGACACAACTGACATTAAGCACATTGCACATCGTGTGGTGCATGGTGGCGACTACATAAGCCCTGTCGTGATATTTGAGGAATCCTATCACCATATCAAGAAACTGTCCGACCTTGCTCCTTTGTACGTTCTCTCCCGACTTGTATTCAGTGCTGCATTACGAAGCCTGTAGACACAATGGATCCGCTCTTTCCGTCATCAGCTCAGCCATCAAGGCCCTTCCGCATGCGAAATCCATCGCATTTTTTGACAGTGCATTTCACAAAGATCTTCCGACTCATGTAGCTACCTATGCGATCAATCAGCAAGTGGCGCACGAGAAGGGATTAAAGAAGTACGGTTTCCATGGTCTAAGCTGTATGCACTATGTGTCCTCGCCAAGATGTCGCTGACGCTGTATCTCCTAGACGCGTTCATCTTGCGGGCAGTGGCTGCGCATCTTAACAAGGTATCTGGTATTCTGTTGTTTGATTGTGGCCTTCTGACCTCCTCAGGCTCCGGATACTCTAAACATAATCGCCCTTCATATCGGTTCGGGGGCTTCCATGTGTGCCATCCGCAATGGCCAGTCCATTGATACAAGTATGGGGTTGACCCCACTGAGTGGACTACCTGGAGCTACGCGCGCTGGTGACATAGACGCGAGCCTAATCTTCCACTACACCAGTCGGTCTCCAGCGCATATGAGCCACGATCCTAGCATTTCAAAGGAAGTCAAAGTGACAGAAGTTCGAATTTTTTTTGTCTGCGAAATGGAAGCTCAAGCGCTCATTCTTGGCAGGCTGAGGACATCCTCAACTTCAAATCAGGTTGGAAGGCACTCACCGGTACAGCCGACTTCAAAGAGATCACGGAGAAGGCAGATACGAGTGTACTTTCTGATCCCATATCTCGCACCGCAGACCCGAATACGCTTGCATTTCGCATCATGTTAGATCGCATACTCCATTTTGCCGGGGCATATCACCTAGCTCTCCACGGAAACGTCGATGCTCTGGTTTTTGCGGGGGGCGTGGGAGAACGAAGCGCCGAACTGAGACGTGCTGTCGGAGAAGCTGTCGCGTGCCTCGGGTTCGCGGTGATCGACGAGACAAAGAACATCCAAGTGAATGACGATGAAGGTATCATCGTGGATATCGGGAAGGGTGATGGGAGGAAGAGGATGCTAGTTTGTCACACTGACGAGCAACTTGAGATGGCAATTGAGTGTTCTCTAGCAAATGAATTTTGGGTTTAGCAAGGAGTGACGGTGTTTTGCAAGTTGTTGGCCGTATTGTAATAATAAACTTGTACAAATAAAGACGTGACAGTGGAACTGACACTTGGGCTGAACGTTCTCCCAATGCTAACACGATCATGGGTCTTCGTACAATTTCCTGCACTGACTATCGGCGGATCGAGCTTGTCGAAGCCTTAACTCTTGGCAGTGAAAGCTTCACGCGCCAACTGACTGGCCATCCGCGGACTACGAGGCGGCGTCGAGAACCGATGTCAATGTATTCTCCCCCAATAGAAGGAAAACAATCGTTTACCCGTCGGGTTCCGTTTCCCCAGGTCCTGGCAATCATGAACAACTCAAGCACGACGGCAACACATGATACATACAGTGCAGTGTGCACTTGTCACATCTACAGATAATTCATTCCGGGACTACAAGGTGAATAGATACTGCGACCAGGACCCAGGTAAGGAAATAAACTAGTATTCTTTCGTGCATGATGTATCAGTTCAATAGGTTAAGGACCAGCGCTGGTCAATGATTGCAGAACGCAGGGCTACATAATCGTGGTTCACTTCTTCATCTTCGTCGTTCCCCACCACGTCATGGCCGCCTTCCATACCACAAATGGCAGATTCGGCAACAGAACACCTGGCAAGGGCAAGCCACGTTCGAGCGAACTTTGCTCCTCAATGTCAGTCAATCTGCGTTCGTAGTCTAGCTTCGCTTCCCGAGCCCGCTCGCGCGCCTTCGCCAGTTCTTCCTCGAGCTGCTGACTCTTCTTTTCTGTTACTTCTTTTTGACGCGCTTGTTCTGCTAGACTCGCGCTCTGCTCTTCCGATTGAGCAACCAACTGTCTCAGCCGAGCAAGTTCTTCCTCCGTTTGCCTTCGGTGCTCCTCTTCTCGTTTCTTCTGTTCTTCAAGAAGTCTGGCGCGCTCCAATTCTTGCACCTCCTTGGCAGCAGCGGCTTCGCGTTCTGCCTTTGCATGCGCCTCCTCCAGTTCTTTGCGTGCTCGTGCGACTTCTTGCTCCGCTGTCTTCCGTTGTTCCTCCTCGCGATGCTTGGCCAATTCTTGTAGCTCCACCAGACGCGACTGGGTTTCTTCCTCAACTTTCTTGGCGGCGGCGGCCTCCTCCTGCTTGCGCGTCTCTTCGGCTTTTGCAGCCTCTTCCATCTCTCGCCGAGTACGCAGGAGCTCGTCTTCGAGCTCTTTCCTGTGAGCTTCTTCCTCGCGAAGTTTGGCTTCATGCTTCTCTCCAAGCAGTTGTACGCGTACATCTTCTTCAGCCTGCCTGGCCAATGCGGCTTCGCGCTCTCGGGTGACGTGCGCCTCTTCCATCTCCCGTTGCAGTTGAGCAAGCTCTTCTTCGCGTTGTCGTGCTAGCTCTTGATGTTCAAGGAGACGTATTCGGGCACTTTCGACCGCCTGCTTCGCTGCGATACTCTCGGCCTCTTTTTCTGCGTGGGACGCCTTGACTTCCTCCAATTCTTTCTCTCTCTGCGCAAATTCTTCTTGCAAACGTATTCGTTCCGCTTCCTCCAGAGCACGTTCCCTTTCCGCGGCTTCTATGGCGGACTTCTGTCGTTGCTGCTCAGCCTCTAGTGCTGCCAGCCTATCCCGCTCTCGTTTGACTTCTTCGGCGTGAGCAATATCGGCAATCTCTTTTGCAATGCGTGTCTTCTCCATGTCGTCCAGAAGACTTTGGAGGTGCTTCTGGTGATTTTCTTCCGCCAGCATTCTTGCATTGCGTTCTTCTTCCAACTCGCGAGCGCGCCGTCTGTCCTCTGCCTGCTTGGCAGCAAGAATCTCGTTCTTCCTTTGAACATGCAGAGCTTCCTGTTGCTCTTTCTCAGTCAGGACTTTGGCGACCTCGCCCTGAAGGCTCTCCACCGTCTGGAGTTGCTTCTGCTGCTCGGCTTCCATCCGCAGGATCAGAGCCTCAAGGCGTGCGCGCTCGGCTGTGAATTCGGCTGCCATGCGCTGAGAGTTTTGCTCGATGCGCAAGCATTCCTGCTGCTTCTTCTCGAGCTCTTCCTGAAGCTCGGCCCTCGTCTCCTCGTCTTTAGCGCGCATGGCGACCTCCATCTCCGCTTTGAGACTACGGATCTCTTCTTTATGGTGATCCGCTTGTTCGTCGAGGGCGCGCCTGATCTCAGCGCCCGCAGCGGTCTTCTCAATGGGCTTGTGCTCGTTTACGATTTCCTGCTGAATTCGGAGTGTAGCGGCTTGGCTGTTGATGAGATAACGAAGGGTGGTATGTGCGGACTCGAGGGTGCCATCGTGACGGAGCATCCGAGCGCCCTTCTCAAGCACGGGCTTGAAGAACTTGTCCTTACTCGCAAGCTCGGCCTCTCTAGCCTCGCCGATCTCACGTTTCACCTCTGACCACATGTTGGTGATAATGATAACGTTTTTGAGCGAGCTCTCTCCGCAAAGCTCGCGGAAGATCTTGAAGTTGCGCTTGGACGTGCCACCCATCCTGAAGTCAGAGATGCGGTGCATGTAGATGACGCCAGCTAGCCTGGTACCATGCTCGTAGCTGGAGAAATGCAGACGCTTAGCCTGAGGAAATCTATCGCATTGGAATCACGTACGTCTTGGAGAGATATGCGGCGATCATGGTCAAAATGTCCGTATCACTTCGGGTGGTATCATCAAAGCCGGGCGTATCGATTAAGGTCACGACACGCCCGCTAACGACAAATGGCCGTGAAGTTCGTACTTCACTAGTGCAACTTTCGAGGCCGCGACCAACGGGAAGACTTGACCCGCTAGCCTTATTGATAAACTGTGTCCAGCGAGAGTAAGCAACACATGGTTCGGAACAAAGAAGCTTTACATACTGTGGATTTACCACTACCGGTAGCGCCCATGACGCTAGAAGGGGCGTTAATCTATCAACCTGAAGACACTGAAAGGTACGTACGCAATCCGGATTTCTCTGCTTGAATTCGCCATTGTTGTAGCTCAGTAATAATAATCGGTTGTCAATCTATGCAAGAGGAGGTACAGTTGTATACTGAGACAGGCAATACGTTGTGCAGGCACTTTGGTTCATGAGTGAGGGACGCGGGTGTTTAAATACGCCTGCGGGCTTATCGATCGAGCACACCCACTTCTTGCGGTGGCATGGTCTTCACGAGGCGCAGCCCCTAACGTGCCTAGCGAAATATTGAGCCCCACCTCGTTGTTTGGAGCCCTATTTAGACGTGATCACCACTAGGAATGAATCTCGGTGTGTTAGTCTGACCTGGAAGCAGCCTCGCTTCGTCCTCGCTGAGCGCAATGCTAGTCCATTCTTGAGTACCGTCTCCGTGATATCGGGTAACTACCCTTTAACATTGTTTTTGAAGCAGTACCACAGCTTCAAGAATCTGATGCTGATCAGGGTTTTGTCGGTTACACACCAATGCATATGGGTATCTTTCTAATACAACTATAGTCCATACTACGCTACGGGCAGGGGGTCAGGATTATCCGTATTGTCAGCCAAACGATCTTCGGAACAATTGAATTGGACCAGTCATCCAGCACGCGCGTGGAGTTGCTCTTCTATTCTCCGAAGTTCTGCTTGATATTCGGATGCTAACGTCGCAGCCTCGTTTTGCACACGTAAAAGCTCCGCTTCCATTTTCTCCGACTCCTCCTGAAGTTCCATTCGCGTCTCCTCATCTTGCGCCTGAGCAGCTTCCTCTAATTCTCCTCGCAACTTCTCCAGTTCTTGACGGTTCTTCTCCGACTGTTCCATGAGTTCGCGGTTCAGCTGCGCATAAGCACCCGTCTGAGTGATGTCATTCACTGCTGCGAGTTCGCTTTGGATGCGTAAGGCTACGGGATCCGTGCCAGTCAGCTTCTGAATGATCTTGTGCGCACTTTCTTGATCATTCATGTGGCGTAGGAGAAGAGCGCCGTTGTCGAGGATTGGCTTAAAGAATATGTCCTTTTCGCGCAGTTCTTGTTCCCGCGCCACGGCGTCAGCTTCGTTTACGCTGCCCCACATGTTCGTAACCATGAGAACGTTCTTGTAAGCCTCTTTACCGCACAACTCTTGAAACATGGTAAAGTCACGTCTTGATGTACCTCCGACTCTGATGTCGGAGATTCGGTGCATGTAGATGACACCGGACAGAAGTTTTTCTTGCTTGTGCCTGGAGGTCTCTGTCAGTGCGCTAGGTTACCCAGGATAATATTGGATACGAACATAGTCTGCAGATAAGCAGCTATCATCTTCAGCACGTCCGTGTCGCTCTTCGTCGTATCATCAAAGCCAGGCGTATCGATGAGAACGACTCGCTTTCCGTCCAGCATGAACGATTGGGACGTCTGTACTTCGTTTGTACAGCTCTCGAGCCCCATACCAACTCGCAAATCCGAGCCAGATGCGACGTTGATGAACTATTCAAATATTTATGAGCGTTGAGGACTGGAGCACAGGGAATATCAGACCGTTGTCTTGCCACTGCCTGTGGCGCCCATTACACTGTGGAGTTGGGCGGGTTAATCACCGCCCGACATCAAGATGATGGTTACGCACGCTATGTAGATAGTCTTGGGCTCCTCCGGCTCTGGGCGCAGTGGTTTTGGCTCTGGGGTTTGTTCAAGTTTTGGCGGCTTGGCTTCAACCTGGCCTGCCTCTGGATCCACGACCTTCTTGCCTCTGGAAGGAATAAAGCAACTGACACATCCACCCATGCTGATGTCGAGGTTAGTCCTGTCTATGTTTCGTGTGCTACAGTGGTTTTGTAGATCGTAAACACAATATTATCGTGAACGAATGAAGCCTGCAGTTCAACACGTGTCTAACGCATTGTTTAGCCGCACTGAGGACGCCTTGCACATCGGCCGCAGCCAAGAATCATTACTTCATGCCATGATTGGTATTGTGATAGTGTGATGAGGTGCAATTGGGTGGGGCCATGCATCAGGGCGATGAAGACATGCATATGACCCAGATACCGATACATGACCCAGACGATACTCGGCTGATATACGCATAGTCAACGCCATCCTGATACGAATGGAACTTGAACACACGAGGATCGTGCGTTTAGGGTGGACAACAAAAACACTAAGGCGCTGCCAATGAGGGAATTAATGCAACGTTCCATGGCGCCTCGCGAGAAGGACGTCACGGTGATACATGCGGAAGTTCACTGACCCTTGGTGGTTCCTCGTGGCTGTGGCCGCACCAACTCCAGTGTTAGATCGCCGCGTGTGTTTGTAATAACTCTGTATTCGGTGATACAGCTAGCGTCGGCGGACCGCGTGTAGATTTGCGGGCTCCCGTGATTTTTTGCGGGGATCTCGAAATCGGTGTGAGCCAGTTGTCACTGAACGTGCCATGATTAGCGTGAAGACCACCCACGCTAGCGAATCTCACAGTTGTGACGAGCTGACGCCATCCTGTCCCGAAGTCATGCCGTTTGGACTCGGATGGATGGATCTCGGAGAAATGGTCAGACAAGCGTCTGAATGCGCAGGAAAAAAGTTGGACGTTCAGGGGATTGAACCCTGGACCTTATACAAATTGGATGCTTAGTGCAAAGCATACGCGCTACCACTGCGCTAAACGCCCTTGTTTTATCGTATGATTTCTTCAATCATGTTTATATCAACAATTTTAGACTTCAGTTGCCGCTGAGTTTCATTTGAAGCTGAAATTAAAATTGGCCATGTTAGGATGCTTTGTCATGCCGTCGGTCAGAAAAGTGGTTCGATGAGCATGTCATATATAAAAGAGTTGACCGAAACGTTGTCAATTTGTTCTCGGTACCTGCTGGTTAGGTCAAGTGACTTTCAAGCGTTAGTCTTTTGATTTATAGGCGCCATGGATCTTGTTCTCCACCTCGCAGATGACTATCTCCTCGACAAAGTATGGGCGCGGCTGCTACCTGTCAACGGTCACCTAGTTCAATCGTCATATACCTCCCTTTCCACCTCTGCAAACTTCACGTCAATCATGTATCTTCAACAGTCTGCCTGGGCTCGTGATTACATCCCTAGACAAATTATTTCTCTAAGTGTAATCACCCTCTTGGGCATTCACTTCCTCTATTTCCTGTTCGCGTGGCTCTCATACAAATTCATTTTCAATCATGAGATGATGCGCCATCCACGCTTCCTAGAGAACCAGGTCAAACAAGAGATACAATGCAGTCTACGAGCCTTTCCCACAATGACCCTTCTCACTCTGCCTTGGTTCCAAGCAGAAGTAATGGGTTACTCAAAACTTTACGATAATGTAGAAGATTACGGTTGGGCTTACTTTGCCCTATCGGTACCATTGTCAGTGCTTTCTCTTCCAACCGTAACATATACTCAACATTTATCATTAGCTTCTTGCTTTTCACCGACTACGGAATTTACTGGGTCCACCGACTATTGCATCACCCGAATATATACAAAACATTCCATAAGCCTCACCACAAGTGGATAAGTATGTTGCTTTGCTCTGCATCCCGTCGTCGTGCGCTCAAATATTTTGGTAGTTCCGACCCCCTTTGCGTCTCATGCCTTCCACCCCGTAGACGGCTACCTCCAATCTGTCCCATATCACCTCTTCATATTTATATTCCCTCTTCACCGATGGTTATACCTCGGTCTCTTCGTTTTCGTCAATTTCTGGAGTATTCTCGTGCGTGCTTTGCATTACTCACATGGACCGCTCTGAGGTCAACGACACCAGATTCATGATTCCGATATGGTCACGGGACATGCCCTCGAAAAGGTGATAAATGGACCCGCTCATCACACACTCCACCATCTTTACTTTACGGTCAACTATGGTCAGGTACGCAATATCGTTTATACTTTTCTCGTGGTATCCCCTAATACCTCTTGTCCCCACGCTCAGTACTTTACGTGGGCAGATCGTGTCGGTGGTTCGTACCGCCAGCCCGAGTCGTCCCTTGATCCCATGCTGGAAATCAAGAAACAGTCATAAAAACGATGATGACGATGATCGCGGTGAACCTATTTATCATCCAATTATAGACTGTCGCGCACCCTTGCCCAGTGACTATTACTACTCGCTGAAGTTAATACGTTTCTACATACTGCTTGCTTGCGTTTCATTGAAACCACTCAGACTAGCAATGAACTAGTATCGGTGTCTTCGTTTAGAAGAGAAACATAACTGCCACTCTATTAATGCAACATCGAGACATCGACATGTGGATGTAGATAGCGTACTACTCAAAAGCAACTCAAAGACTGTCCCGACGCCTCAATCTCACCTACTTCTTTGGCCGCCTCTTGACCTCATCGTCCTTGCAAGCATGTAACATGAGTTTGTTGGGATGTCCTGGCGTCATCCCGCTGTGGCCTTTAGACCAGTCATACGAGACAGCGTATGCAAAGATCGTGCCGTTTCGATTGAATGTAGTAGCACTGATCGGCCCAGGGGCTGCTTCGAAAGCTAAAAAAGTATGATCAGTACAATCGTAAACAGCCGGTAATTAGAGTGGGTATACTTTTTAGTCGTGTGCGGGCGTCTTTGTCCCAGAAGTGGATAGTTCCATCAGAGCCTGGGTCGTCCAAATCAGACGAGTCACATGGAACTAGAAGCCTCAAGGCTTACCGCAGGTAGAGAAGGTTCCGTGCACAGGATGGAAGGATATGTCCTTGACGGCGTACACGAGGGACTGGTCCTTGGCGTTCGGTGTCTGGTCTTTTCGATGGCACTTGAATGAAGGTATGAGCGGAACTATGAAATACCCATACGAGCTGTATTTTTCTTCGACGTATCGAGCACACGGCTCCGAGAACGACTGGTTGCCGGGCCTCGAACAAGTCCATTCTTCGATCGTTTGTCTCGGTGAAACACGATAGTGACCGACGACCGCCACATACTCCCCTCCAGGATATTCCCACATCCTTTACTTCCTTCTTTTGGTGGCGCCCTTTCCTGCATCCTCGACTGGCCGGGTTGGGCCTGCTTCCTCATCGTCGACATCCATGCGAGCTGAGGTGCGAGTGGAGGTAGGGCTGGTGTGGATAGGTTGGGGAGTGTGGGCACGAGGAGAGGGTGGTACGGTACGAGTGTTGCTTGGTCCCTCTCCCAAGTCTGTGGTCTGATGTGTGGGTGGCATGCTAGACGCGTGACGCGCGCGTTTGGCCTTCCTGTCCGCAATATTTTGGTCGCGCCACTTCCTCTGTCGTTGGGCCGTCTCTAGGTTCGTCCACAGCGCCTTTTCCAGCAGCTCAGCCTGGCGGGGGTTAATCCAACGGCCACCTTCCGGTGTGGCCTGAGCAGCCTGAGTGATGGGGGGTATCTCTTCTCCAACGAGGTCGACGAATGAGGGGGAGGGGCCGCTGATGCGGGGCCCCTCGGAGGATTCCTCGGCGAAGCGGGAGGTGAGGCCGTTAGCGGTTTGCATCATATTGAATGACAGGGAGAATTCTCCATATCCCGCAGGTGTGGCTGGGTTGGCTGCTGTCCCCGAGCGTAGATGGGTGTCGTGCTCTAGATAGGCACGAAGCATCTCTAGGACCACCATTAGGACCCCGTCGCTGACACCGTTGGGGATGGTGAACTTGCGGGCGCCAATGGGAGTGAGGAGGGGTGCCATAGTGTGGGATACGATGTCGCAGGCAAATAGTAGGGAGTGGTCGGTGGTGAGGGAGAAAGGAGTTTCAGGGGAGGATGGGGCGATGGTGAGTCCTTTATAGGCAGACTCGCCGAGAGATAAGTGCCCAGCTGAGCTGACGGGAGTCCCCTGTAGGGAGGTTCTCTTGAGAGGAGTTAACGGGAGCGGATAGAATCTAACAGGTATGAAGTCTCAGTATCTGGGAACAGAACTCAGCATTGACGAAGCGTGTACCTAACAGGTATGAACTACGAAACGTTAGCTTTTGTATGTCGAAAGGTAAAGTATTTTAACTCACGTCTCAGTATCTGGGAACAGAACTGAGGCGCTCGTTTGGCTCTGCTATAGGTTTTATACGGTAAGTGTTCCTAAACGTTATATTGAAGTAAAACATTGATACTTGGTAGTTTTCGGCCCCGACATCACTTCTGTCATCGTCGTGCCTCTCTCTCCTTGCGCTCGGACATTCTATTCATCATCCTGCCCCTTTGCTTCGGTCTCATCGGCCTTGTTCGACTCTGAGGTTTTGGACGTCGACACTCCCCCTCGAGCGCAAGCTAGTCCCATCAGGGCCCTTAGCTTTTGCAAACGGGGGCGTGGCACGGCCTTGGTAAATGCATCGGCCACGTTGTCGTCAGTGGGGCAATAGAGAATCTTGAAGGTCCCGTCCTTCATGTATGAGCGTACGAAGTGGTAATGCAAGTCGATATGCTTGGTACGTGACTGGAACTTCCTGTTTGACGCTAACGCTATGGCGGCCTGATTATCGCAGAATATCGGAATGGGGAGAGTGGGGGGGTCGCAGAGTTCGGTGAGGAGGAGTTTTAGATAGAGCAGCTCATGGACTACACTGGTAAGTGCGATGTACTCAGCTTCGGCTGTGGATAGTGCAATTAACGGCTGTTTTCTTGCACTCCAAGCAACAGGACCTCCGTTCAACATCACGATGTAGCCAGACATGGAGTGCCTATGCGGTTGGGAGGCCCAATCCGCATCAACGAACGCCTCCAGGCCTGCATCGGTGGAACCTAAGGTGAGTTTGAACGCATCAGTGGCCTTTAGATAACGTAGTGCTCGTTTAGCTGCTTCCCAATGCGGTCTACCCGGACTGCGCATGAACTGCGACAAAGTCGCGATAGCAAAAGCTATGTCCGGGCGGGTGCTCGTGGCCGCATACATCAATGATCCGATAGCACGTTGATACGGTACGTCCTTCATGGCTTCTAGTTCTGTGTGAGTGGATGGGGACTGATCTGCGGATAGTGTGATGGCCGGCTCCATGGGGGTCTGTACGGACTTTGCGTCATCTAGCCGAAAACGTTCGACGATGGTAGCCACGTAGGCCTTCTGGGATAAGGTCAAGGTACGTGCTCCTCTGTCCCGCGTTACCTTCAATCCCAGGAGCCAACTTAGTTCCCCCAAGTCCGAAATCTCGAAGTACTGTTGGAGCTGGTCTTTGAACCGGCGGATGTGAGAGAGGTGGTTTGCAGTCACGGCCATGTCGTCGACGGAGACCGTTATGACCATCTTTTCGTCGGAGGTGCGTTTGAAATAGACCGCTTGATCGACTCCTGACCTGCTGAATCCTAGCTTCGCAAACACTCCCGCCAACTCTTCCGCCCACTCGAATCCTGCCTGCTTAAGTCCCGGTAAGCTCCTCTTTAACCTCAACACCTTTCCACGCTGATCCTCCCTTAGGTACCCCGGTGGCGCCCTCATATAAATTTCCTCTTGGATGCTTGCATACAGGTACGTGCTCTTGATGTCGACTTGGTGGATTTCCCAGTCTTGCTGAGCCGCCATCGTCAGGACTGTCCGGATTGTGCTCATATTGGCAGTGGGGGCGAATGTGTCGAAATAGTCGACCCCAAACTTCTGTCTCTGGCCGTTTGCGACGAGGCGTGCCCGGAGCTTCAACTTTTCTCCGTCGGGTCCACGTTTGGTCGCCAAGACGTAATGGGAAGGTATGATGTTGGCGCCTCGAGGTGGGTCAACAACTTCCCACGTACCTAACTTCTCGAGCTGACTTATTTTGTAATCTAGCGCTTCTTGCCACTCCACTCCATCAGGACCGTTTAAAGCTTGTTGCAGGCTGGGTTCCGGCTCTGCAGCAGCCAAAGCAAGGTGAATGTGCACCTGTTCATCCAGGAGGTCTAACGCTGACGCCTCCATTAGGGAATCTAAGGCTAGGGACGCGGTCTCCCCCTCATTGAGGGCCGCATAATATCCTGGAGGTGGTCTGGTGCGGGTGGACCTTGGAGCTGGAGGTGGGGTCGATGGACGTGGAGTTTGGATTCTGGCTGGGGTAGCAGGTGGCGGGATAGGCTGAACGACAGGTGAGTTATTACTGTTGCTACTATTATATTCGTCGTGCCGCATGACGATGGACTCCCCCTCGTTCAGGGGATCCCTGGCCACTGTCACCTCATTAGGCGCAAAGGTGACATTGCGCTCGACGGAAACACGGCTCTTACCCGGCCAATATACCCGGTAGGCTTTGCTCTGGGTGTCCATCCCCACAAAAACTGCCTCCTCCGCCTTGGCCTCCAACTTCCCAGCGCCCTCAAGGTGCATGAAGATCCTGGCTCCGAATTCCCTAGCCTGGGAGAGGTTGGGCTTGGTCTTCGTGACCAGCTCAAACGGAGTCGCACCTGGAGTCGCCCTAGACGGTAGGCGATTCTTTAGCCAGGTGGCGTAATTGACGGCCTCTGCCCATAGGTACTTGGGGAGGTCCTTCGCCAGCAACATGGCCCTGGCGTGCTCGACGAGAGTGCGGTTTAGCCTCTCGGCTACTCCGTTTTGCTGTGGTGAGTCGTGAGTCGTCAGTTGTCGCTCAATGCCACGCTGACTCAAATACTCGTCGAACTCCGCACTTAGATACTCTCCCCCACGATCTGACCGGACCCTGCGGAGCTGGACGCCTGGAGTTTGGTGTGTGAGCCAGGCCTCATAGGCCTTGAAGGCGGTGAGTGCCTCGCTCTTTAGCTTCAAGAACTGGATCTTCGTCTGACACGTGAAATCATCTGTGAAGGTGATATAGTATCGGCATCCGCCCAAGCTGGCAGTCTGTGCGGGGCCCCATAGGTCCGTATGGACTAGCTCTCCATAGGTGCGTGCCCGGCTATGACTTTCGTTCGGGAAGGGTTTCCTCGCTGACTTGGCTTTGACGCACGTGTCGCAGAACTCCGGCTTGGAGTCACTGTCCAGCGTGACGCCCACGACGAGACCTTTTTTCACGGCCTCGAGCACTGCAGGCTGGGAGATGTGCCCCAGCACCCGGTGCAACTCACTCACAGTAAGTTTTCCCTTGGCAACGTTTGCATGGTGCTGACCTGACCTTCCCGCTGCTATGCTATAAAGACCCTCCACCTGCGGAATTTCGGCGATGACTCGACGTTTCGGGCCCTGGGACAAGACTTTGCACATGCGCCCTTCAAAAAGGACGGCCATGCCGGCCGCTGCAATGCGATTCGTGGAGATTAGGGTGAACGCCATGGCCGGTGCGTACAACGCGTTCTTCAGCGTCACTTTCGTGCGCTTCTCACCAAGTGGCAGTTCTAGCTCGACGTCTCCTCGACCTACGGCGCTCAGACTTGAGCCATCCGCCGTGTGGATGTCCTGGGGGGATATGGGGGTGAAGTTGGAGAATTTTGCCCGGTCTGGGCAGAAGTGAGAGGTGGCCCCAGAGTCTACGATGGCACCTCGTCGGTCGAGGGGCACCCTGAGGTCCCTGGCTATGCTTGCCAAGTCGGACGATACGAATGCGTATTGGTCCTGGGACCCGGACTCTGCGGCTGAGTTTGCCGTCTCTTTGGGACCCTTCTCACCCTTACGCCGTTGCTGATTCGGGCCTTGGCCCTCTTTTCCCCCTCCAGGCCTCCAACAGTTGGTCTTATAGTGACCTTTGCGTTCGCAATTATAGCAGGTAACGTCTGCATTCGTTTTGCTCGACGTAGCTGACCTTTTGCCCTTGTCTCTAGGCTCCCTTGCGCTGAGTGCAGTACCTGCGCTCCCCCTTTTATTGGGGCGCTTCTCGGTAAGCTGGCGGTGTTCGTATTCTTCCGTAACGATGCTGATTAGTTCGTAGGAAGACAATGGTGTCTTTGTGATTTTGGCTGCCGCGTTAATGGACGAGAGTAGCGGGCGATAGGACTCTGGTAGGGAACCAAGGATGATAGCATGGAAATCCGTGTCGAGGATCCCAGCTCCCATTCCTGCAAGTAGCTCATGCAGACGTAGGAGCTCCGCGAAGTGAGCTTTGACGTCTCCTCCCTCCTCGCATCTTGTCTCCTGCAAACGCCGACGCAAATCGATCTGGACGAGCTCGGTCTTGCCTTCGTGGATCTGGCAGATTTCTTCCCAGACCTCCGAGGCAGTTTCGAACTTCTGGACGCGCAGCAACAGTCGATCGGTAATCGTACTGAAGATTTGCTGTTTAACGAGTGAGTTCTTTTGGTCATATTCATCCATTTTCTTATCGCGCTCATCGATCTCCTTCTGAGTAGGAATCGAACCGTCCGGCTTTTCCGGCACCCCCGATACCTTTCCAATGAGGTAGGGTAACGGCTCGACGGCACGACCATCTGCATATCGCATCAAACCTCGGGCACTTATCGCTGTCAACGTTCTCTCCTTGTAGGTAATCCAATTCGTGCCATCTTCGGCAAGTTTTGGGACATTGAACAACGAGGACGTAGTGCCGGGGAGCGTATTATCAGTGGTCATGTCAGGGCTCATAACCTCTTGAGAGGAGTTAACGGGAGCGGATAGAATCTAACAGGTATGAAGTCTCAGTATCTGGGAACAGAACTCAGCATTGACGAAGCGTGTACCTAACAGGTATGAACTACGAAACGTTAGCTTTTGTATGTCGAAAGGTAAAGTATTTTAACTCACGTCTCAGTATCTGGGAACAGAACTGAGGCGCTCGTTTGGCTCTGCTATAGGTTTTATACGGTAAGTGTTCCTAAACGTTATATTGAAGTAAAACATTGATACTTGGTAGTTTTCGGCCCCGACATCACTTCTGTCATCGTCGTGCCTCTCTCTCCTTGCGCTCGGACATTCTATTCATCATCCTGCCCCTTTGCTTCGGTCTCATCGGCCTTGTTCGACTCTGAGGTTTCGGACGTCGACAGGTTCCTGAATATATCGTCCAACTCTGAGACATGCTCGATGCCCAGCACAGCAAAATAATCCTTTAATACTCCCAACTTGGCTACTCGATCATATGGCAGCCAGGTGGTATCCCCTGACTTCCACAAAATTTGAAATGTGGAGTCCGCGCATCGCCCCGAATGGGCCAGAACTTTGTCAACTAGGGTTCGGCGTTGCAGCTGCTTGGCCAACGGCGGAGACGATTTCATTGACAGTGAGCTGTTTAGTGCGTTTTCGAATTGCGAACACGACGTATCATAAATGCGCATTGTAAGATTGCGCTGCCTTGTTCGCTGCTGATATGATCGGCAAATAGGTGTCTGTCGAATCTTGCACGGTAGCCACTAAGTCACTGCACTTGCATTTTTCAGCTCTATTCAAGTTGTTGTTACCTACTGCAGCTATGATCTCTTTCATTCTTAATTTATCCAGGGCAGAATTGAGCTGTTGCGACATGGCTCAAAAGCTCTAAACTGGGTTGGTAATGTCATGACATAAAGCCACATTCACTGCGGAAACGACAAATAACCCGATAGGGTTGACGTAGAAGTAGTAACAATAACTATACTATAACCGGAGAATGGCAATTGTGTGAATCCTCACTGGTTAAGGTGGAGAATGGTGACTGTTTGAGATCAAATCCTGACATGGGTTAGACAATGTGAGCTCCTGTTGGATAGCTGCCCTTACATCTAACCTGGTATACAAATTACATCTGAATATCAGGTCTGTGGTCTGCTTTGCATCTGGTTATTAGGGGGACACATGGCTGCTTTGCACCTCAGGCAGTACTTCTCGGTAGTAATAAAGGTCTGTGAGACCCCATTATTATGTTAGGAATCTTAGGATTATATCATAGGTCTATGAGACCCAGTCTCGGGGATGATCTAATTATAGCACATACCAAATATACCTTGCTTCCTCCTCAGTGCCTTCCTGGATCCTTGTGGCCCTCCCTGAATGTCCTGTACCTCCAATATGACCTTGAAAGATCCTCATCAATATCTAGGGAATGACATGGGTACCAGGCACCTACGGCAGGTCGTGGGTATGGGTGTCACATGGGTGCAGGTGCGGGTACAGACTTTGGACACCCATACCTGTACCCACACCCATATGGTGGGTCAGTCCACCAATCAGTAACTCTGACTATACAGAACCTAAACCTTAATGTAAAAAGTAATAACAACACAATAATATTGACATCAGTACCCTACCAAACACATCCAACATTTATCAAAACTGTTGTGAAATGTATTACAAAACTTACAGACAAGGCCAAGGCTGCAATAGATGAAAGACTCGAGAACTCATCCAAAAAACGGAAGACTGATGATAGTAGCACTGTCACCGCACATGCCCAACACAAGAAGATTAGGCCAGCAAGAGAACACGGTCAAAATGTCGAGGAAGCAGTTCCTAAAGCACCCATTCAGCCTCCGGCTCCCAGAAAAATAGTTGAGCAAGCCCCACCTAAAACCCATTGAGCCATAGTTCTCTCTGAAGATGACACATCCAATGAAGATGCTATTGTTATCAGTGACCATGAGAAAGATCCAAGCAAAGGTACCATCATGGATGTTGACGATGAAGAAGAAAGTGCTGAAGACGAACTCAGTAGGAGGCCAAGCTTGTGCTCTGAGCACCAACTGACATTAGTAACTGTAGAATGATTAATGAAGGATTGGACGTCACCTGTTTATGCATTTTTTGATCCCACACCTATCATTGAGACTCTTCATGGTCATTGTGCACATGTGTTCAAGTGCATGGGCAAAGGATGCAAAGTCCATATCCGCCAATTCCTTGACAAAAAAGATGCACGGTCGACAGGCAACATGCGAAAGCATATAAAAACTTGCTGTGGTGATGAAGTCTTGCAGGCAGCCTGCGAAGCAAAGGATGCAGACGAAGTCCGAACAAAGATTGTTGCCGGTATCCTTCGCAATGGGTCAATAACAAGTTCATTCGAGCGTAAAGGAAAAGGAAAGGTTACATACTTGCATAGGCAGCATACTTGTACTGAAACAAAGTGGGTCCTCCTCGAGCTTCATCTGCACAGTAGTTAACATGCTATGCAGGGTGGAATTAGTTTGTTGGGTAGCGGAGAGCCTGCGACCATTTGACAATTGAGAGGGAAGATTGGGAGATGATAGCCAAGTATAGTGAGGAAACTTCGGAAGACAACAATGAAGGGTGGGTGAATGACACTGCTTTGTTGCTGAAGGACCAATCCGTCAAGCTGCAAAAAAATATCCGGCCCATTGTAGGAATACAGCACAGAGTGGGGCTCCAAACTGATATCTTTATGTTGTGGTCTTGCACTGCCTAGTCTGCTATACTTGGTGAGACAAGTGTGTTCGACCCAGGGGTCTGCGGTCTGGGAATAGTTTTGGGGGTCAGTGAGTGATGTGGGGTCAATAGTCCAAGCGCGGGAAACAATGTCCGAAGGTATAATTACAATGTCCGATGTTTTCGGGGTTTCAGGTTATCGGGTTCAGGTTCGGAGTATCAGAAACTAATAGTAACATGATAGCGAGCATCAGGAAAGCGAGAGGTGTGCACAATAATAACAATGATGGATACGGGCGGTGAAGGAACAATGATATTCGCAATGTCAACTAAGAACTACGAAATATCAGGTTTGACCCCTAAGTGTCAGAGAACAACTCTCCTCTACTTGGATGATGATGATGCTATGGGGAGTCCCATATTTATATAGATATGTAGAAGTCTGGAACCCTATAGGTGAAAGTAGTAGCACAATATTTTCGGGTCTGATGTCCTATGTCATAAGACATTGCTGCGGACATGTAATAATGTGGTCTACAATGTTAGCGATGGGAAAACAAGTAACTGAGCACCTAGTGGGGCTAGCACAATGAGACAGGACATAGGTAGGACGAGTACACACAAAGTCCGATAGTCTGATAGTCTGATGTCCAATGTTTTCGGGTTTGGTGCATATTGAGTCAGATATGATAGGGAATGATTCAGGTAATCATTAGCATTCATACATGCATCGGAAATTAGACCTCTACGAGGCCACAGAGATGTCAGTCTCTACAGCGGTCATGTCCTCGACGAGATTTTAAAACTGTTAAGTAGACATAAGCAAACACACATTGAGCAACAACACAAAATTACTTACTTCGATAGGTCTCTTTTTCAGTCAGCTGGCACTGATGACCACTTGCAGTGCATCCGGCCATGGATTCCATCTGTGCACATAGGTCCTCCTGGGCCTGCAAGATTGCCTTTTGCTTTTGGGATCCCCGTTGAGAGGCAATTTTTCCTGCCATGATTCAGGGTAGTCTGTAGCCAAAAAAGAAGGACGACTTGCCTTTATATATCCTTGCCATAGTGTCTGATCAACAGACCACTTTGAGTTCTGTTGATTTCAAAGTTAAAGTTTCAATCTGACCAAAAAATATCAACAGAATGGTATAAAAAGAGCAAAAAAATGATATGACTTCTAACACTTATGGTGGATACTACCAATCTCACCAAAATGCCCAAATAGTAAGTGACAGGCTTGTCTGAGACACACCACACATTGACCAATGTGGCAGCTCAGTCTTCTCGCCATTCAGTGAACCAAATGAAAAGGATCTTGCAGTCAGCCAACAGTGGGTTACTCCGAGAACTGCCATGACACACACTCACCATCCAGTAGGCCTCCAAGTCAGCTCTTCCATGTGGTCATGGCTCCAGGACAGGCTAGAGAGGCTCCATGTGCTCCCAAGCTTCATCATCCTTTGCAACCATATTGTCAGACACCAGGTCCCATAACTACTTCTCAGACTTACCTGCAAACCCTTGTCTTAGAACGTTGGGATGCAGAGATTAGGCGTTGTGATGAGGTGTGCAAAGCGCAGCTCTCTGAATGCATACAAGGGCCTGTTACTCACCAAACATATGCACGAGAGTTGATAGTCAGGTGCTGGCATGCAGAGAAGCAGTGGTGCCAAGAGGCACACAAAGTCCAACTATTGGAACTCCTACTTGCGGCTCATGGTATTACCACCCTAGTTTAGTCAGTTAGTTATGTCAGTAGTCAGTAGTCAGTAGTCACTTGGGGATGAATGGAGACGATATTAATGGTAACCAAGGCAAATGAGAGATTTGGAATGAGAAGAAGAAAAAACGACCGATAGACAAGAGAAAAGAAAAATGAGCTGAACATGTGATACATGAACTCTACATTTGCAAAGGGAGAAACAGCCAGAAAAGAGAAGTCATCAGAAACGATAAACAACATGTGAAAGGAAGGAGTAGATGAGATGATAGACAAGAGAAAAGAAAAATGAGCAGAAGAGAAGCCATGCAATACATGAACTCGACATTTGCAAAGGGAGAAACAGCAAGACAAGAGAAACAATCAGAAACAATCAACATCATGCGAAAGGGAGGAATCGATGAGACAAGATGGTCAAAGGAAGTGGTCAAGGAAGTTGGACGGGCATGAAAGGCGGCGCACTGTCATGAACTGCATCCACGATCAAACTCTACCAAAGAAAGGTCATTATGAACTACATCCGTGATGGCAGTCCTGTCAGAAGTTTCGGTGTTTGAAGTTGGTCACTATGTGCAGGGAAAATGAGTATTAGGAAGTGATTGGCCAAGTTGGCGACAACGATCAACGAACCTATAATGCCTCACTGTATGTTTCACGGGAAGGTAACGGCTATGGGCCAGGGTCTCAAGAGACACATTGTGGGGCATCCTGAATGCCGAAGGGAGTGGACATTATTGATTGAAGAAGCAGATGCAGCGAACTCAGACCCACCAGATATCGACTTCTCCCATGAAAACATGGCAGCCCCAGGTCATGTTCACCAGCACTCATCTTCAGATATGGACCAAAACCCTACACCTGGCAAAATTCGTCGGGTCACTGTTGAAGAAATTGATAACGAGGATGCAACATCACTCACAGATAATGGCCAGTATTTCGAACCTCAGTCAAAGGCAGGCTGTGCACTGCATGAAGGGGAGACCATGTTTGAAAGATATAGAAGAGAGCAACGAGAAGAGGGTAAAGATCAATGGGCACCCTTTGAGAATGTGTGAGCATTGAATCATGGTAGCAAAGCATATACTAAATGGACGACTCACCAGAGAGGATTGGGGTCTAGCCTAATGGCTTGTCAGAAACCTTGGTCAAAGGCAGACCAATGAATTTCTGAAACTACCCATAGTATGTTCAAAGTATAGATCAAAATTTGAACTCACTGTGTTGATACTGTAAGCAGACTCAAAACCGCTCAAAGCTTCCATTTCACAATAACCGGTCATTCTTGCAAACGGTAGATGAACTTCCACATGGTCCAGCATGGAGTTGTAAGAAGGTTACTGTGTGTGGTAACCATGAGGATGAGAATGGAAAGTTGTTACAAGAAGAGGTGGAATTATGGAGTTGGGATCTAGTTGAATGCATGAAGGAGCTGATTGGGAACCCTTCTTTCAAGGCAGATATTGCCTACAGCCCAGCCAGAGCTTATTCTGACCGTGCAGGGGAGCATCGAATTATCGACAAAATGTGGATGGCAGACTGGTGGGCTGAGAAACAGGTAAGATTGTGCCGGTGTAGAGACTCATGCCTCTCATTGTGTGATATGGCAGTTTTCACTAGGGAGTACATGGCACAAACTTGTAGTATCACTCTGCATGCTATCCACAGCTATTCCTATATGAGGTGCAGCTTTCCCATTGTAGAAACAACAATACTGAGAGGAACAAACAAAGGTCCTGACTGTATCTGTAAATGTTGTAAGGTCGCGCGTTGCCTAGTCTGCTATACTTGAGACTACAAGTGCGTTCGACCCTAAAGGGGAAGCGAGTGCAGCAAGGATCTAGTAGTGCGCGCCGAAGGCGCTACTGGTCGGCTGATGCGAAGCGCGAGAAAGTGCGCAGGTGCGCGCGAGGGGCGGGAAAGCGAAGGTGCGCGCGCATGAGCGGTAATGAGAGAGAGTAAGAGTGAGTTTGCTTAAGTGGTGATTAGATACTAGACAAGAGATACGAGCGCGAGGTGTCAAAGAACAGATTTCTACTATGTTCTCCTAGGTAGTATGTGGGTAAGTGGGAGGTAGAGTAATTGTTGGAAAGTGAGTTCAGTATGTAATGCTGGCGCTTATATGGCGCCTAAGCGCTGTCATGCGGAGCTGAATCGCTACCGAGTAAGGTATGCAAAGATATATGTATGTAAGTAAGGGTCCATGATAAAAATAAAGGTGGAACGATACACAGATAAGAGAAATGGAAACATACGCACTAGAGAACTTGGTGGACAGTGGATGGATGCTTCCGGATGGCTGGCGCTATAGGGCGACCAAGCGCGGGAAAGCGCGCGCGCGTATACATCGTAAAGCGCGGGAGTGGTGCGCGCATGGCGCGGGAAAGCTGCGCCTCATATAGGGATAGCTGCAGATAGCACACAGAATGGTGCTGCAAGTTCGTGCAATGAACTCCCTAGTGAAAAGTGCCATATCACACCATGAGAGGCATGAGTCTCTACACCGTGCAATGCGCAACATGCGCGCACATTCCCATGCTTCACGATGTATATGTGCGCGCGCTTTCCCACGCTTGAGCACCCTATAGTGCCAGCCATCCGGAAGCATCCATCCACTGTCCACCAAGCTCTCTAGTGCGTATATTTCCATTTCTCTTATTTGCATATCGTTCTACCTTTATTTTTATCATGGACCCTTACTTACATATATCTTTACATACCTTACTCGGTAGTGCTTTGGCTCCGCATGACAGCGCTTAGGCACCATATATAAGTGCCAGTAGTACATACCAGAAAGTAGTTTAGCAACCCCCATGTTCACACTACACAACTCAGCTTAGTTGGAATCCCTCCCTAGAAAGTAGCACTTACATCTCATATCTCTATATATGCGCGCACTTTCCCATGCCTTCGCACCTCGTGCACACCTGCACTTTCCCACGCTTCGCATCAGCCAACCAGTAGTGCCTTCAGCACCTACTACTAGATCTTTGCTGCACTTGCTTTCCCTTTAGGGTCGAACGCACTTGTTGTCTCAAGTATAGCAGACTAGGCAATGCGTGACCTCACAACATTTATAGATACAGTCAGGAGCCTCATTTGTGCCTTGCTGTATCGTTGAACCTTCACCGGTGTAAAGAGTTGATTCGTTGTAGGTGCTACAAAATGTATTACCTTAGAACTCAATGTGCGAGTGTAATGCTCGTCCCAAAGAGACTGCCTATAGAATTATTTCTTGATATAAATGCAAGGGATATCTCGTTAAGACCAAAGATGAGAACAGGAAAGGTTACCCAAAGTGCGTCTCGAGTTCTGAAGATGTGTCTGAAGTACCGAAGTACTTGCCTGATGCAAGCGAAGGTGGTCCGAAGTCAAGAAACAAAGGTCCGAGGTTGTGCGAAGCGTTCGATGGACGTCCGATGAACAGCGAAGGTTCCGAGGGAGAAATACAGCGGGTGTGTCGAAGTGTGTCAAAATATGTCGAAGTATAAGACTAGCAGAAGTACTGGGGTACGACTAGACAAAGTCTATCGGAAGAACTAAGAGATATTGAGGTGCAAAATGGCCAAATGATTGTTCCGAATGGACAAAAGATTGATTGCGCGAAGTACGACTATCCGAAGTGACTCTACAAACTATGACTCGTAGCAAGGAAAGTGAAGTCCAGTGTCACTGCAGGCATTTTCCCATGTTCCTCCACCAAACATCAAAAAACATTGATTGAGAAGATAGAAATTTCCCCTCATTTTTCCTGTCAGAACATTGAAAAAAAGTAATTCATGTTTGAATGATGTTCTGTGTGTGGGACATGATGCAAAAATTAATCATGTTGCTTCAAGGATAATGCTGTATTTTCCATCTATTGTCTTTGAAATAACAGCTTAAAATAATGTTAATTTTCTTCTCTGTGTTCTTCAAATATACTATGTTTTTCAAATGTTCTGTGTATATTTAAAAAACACAGAGAAGAAAATTAACATTATTTTAAGCTGTTATTTCAAAGACAATAGATGGAAAATACAGCATTATCCTTGAAGCAACATGATTAATTTTTGCATCATGTCCCACACACAGAACATCATTCAAACATGAATTACTTTTTTTCAATGTTCTGACAGGAAAAATGAGGGGAAATTTCTATCTTCTCAATCAATGTTTTTTGATGTTTGGTGGAGGAACATGGGAAAATGCCTGCAGTGTGTGAGTATCTAGCAAGCCAGAATATATCCTACAGTGTGAAGGTCTGGAATCTGCATAGGCGAAACCAGTAGCGAGATAAGCTATCCGAAATGCAATAAGACTCAAGGCGAGCCGCTACAGAGATATGCATGTAATAGCGCATGAGGCGTGCAGTTATACGTATTAATCGAGCTTCTCGACGTATGTGCCCCTAAGACATAATCAATAACAGATAAACCAAGTAAAAACGCACCAGCGAAGTCAAATGGATGTGGAAAGGACATGGTACAGAGGATCGGACATGTATACAGGCCTCGGAAGGGGACGGACGACCTTCGGACTACTCGGATGAGTGCGTGGAACTCTCGAAAGGTAAAAGGAGTGTCGAGGAGTATAATGTGAGACGCATACAATTTAGGGAGGATACACTGACCTGCACCAAACTGGTTCGGTGCATGGATGACTAATACTCTCCTATGAGCCCTATGCCCTATGAAATCATTTTCTCTATGAACTGAAGTCAGACTGAGGCTAAGGGAATATTTTTCGCTTTTTTCATTTTTACGAGTTTGTACGTGAGCGGACTGAATATTTTTGTACATTTAATTCTGCGATGAGTTTTGCTTAGTCAGCCATGAAGACGACTCAGAAGATTCTCACACATATCAGGTGACTGTGAAAAATATGTTTGCATAAGGTTACCCTGTGGGAAAGCTTACAAATCCTAAATGCGCATCCTATGTCATTATGCTACCAATAAATTCATCAGCCACAGATTTCACAAACATATGTACACAATATGTAATCATTTCTCACTCTTGTCTAGCTGAGTCATCAAGGGTCACCTGACCCATGGGCCATATACAGCTCTTGCTGACTCATCATTATACCAGCTAGAGTTATGAATATTTACTTTTTGACCCAAAGATACCGTGTGACTTGGTACTAATGAACTAAAGTTACAACTTTAAGTACGAGAAACTAGTAGTATAGCCACCAAATTTGTCTATATAAGGACCAGCTTTTTGCCCAATAAAACAAGCAATTCCCCTTTGCTTTTTGCTCTTATAATAAAATTGTGAGTGAAGTGTGAATCGGCAACCAGCAAAGTGCAGTTCAAGGGTGGAGCTCACTGTGCTCAACAACCAGCACCACTCTTCTGAGCTCATTGTGTTGAACATCTAGCACATACCTTGAGCTCACTGTGTCTGACGACTAGTAAGACTAGTCTTTCTTTTTCTGTTTTTCTCTTGATTGTCTGTCTGAATTTCTTTGTTTCTTTTTGTGTCTTTGTCTGTGTCTCTGTCTGTGATTTTCTCTGTGATTTGTTTCTGTCTCTGTGTCTGGTTATCTGAGTGTCTGTGTGTTTGTTTTCTTTCTCTCTGAGATTGTGTCTGAGATTCGTGACTGCAACTCGTGTTTCTGTTTCTGTTTCTGTTTCTCTCTCTCTGTCTCAAGTGTGTGTGGTGTGTTGGTGACTGTCTATACTGACCATCTCTCTGATCGCTGTCTGTTTGCTTTGTGATTGTTGTTGTTAACAGTCTCCATGACCATGTTTGTGTTTGTGTTTCTGTTGTAGCAGTCTTGTTTTTTTGTTGTTGACTCAACCTATCAACTTTCTCTCAAGTACCAAAGTTTCAGTCTCATTCTTATCCAGAAGTTTGGTGTTGTCTCTTTTTGTCCACGGAAGACTCTGATAGTCTAGTGGGGAGACTTTAGGTGTTGATGGTGATACCTGACCTCTTACATCTGTGTGTCATACCGATCGAGGATAGTTATTTGCGAGTTAGACTTTAGCTATTGAAAAGGGGACTTGGTATTGAAGTCCAAGGTCACCCGTTCCTGAGTCTGTTTAATACTCATTGTGAGTTCCTTGGCAGCAGGTTCAATATTAGGCTAAGAGTGCTACAGAGGCTTGACTAGGCCTGATGGTAGTTTCACCTATTTTTGTATTGAGGGGGACTCTCATTGTAACTCCACACAACTTGCTGCACTAAGTTTGTGTACGAATCCTTGTTGCTGTGTGAAGTGATAGAAAGAGTGTCTGTTTTTTTTGTGTCATTTCTATATTGTTAGAGTGACTGTTGTAGAGACTCATGCCTCTCATTGTGTGATATGGCAGTTTTCACTAGGGAGTACACAGCACAAACTTGCAGCATCACTCTGTATGCTATCTGCAGCTATTCCCTTATGAGGCGCAGCTTTCCCGCGCACAACTTCCCGCGCTTTACGATGTATACGCGTGCGCGCTTTCCCGTGCTTGAGCGCCCTATAGCGCCAGCCATCCAGATGCATCCATCCACTGTCCACCAAGCTCTCTAGTGCGTATGTTCCCATTTGCCCTTATTTGCATATCGTTCCACCTTTATTTTTATCATGGACCCTTACTTACATACATATATCTTTGCATACTTTACTCGGTAGCGATTCGGCTCCGCATGACAGCACTTAGGCGCCATATAAGCGCCAGCATTACATACCTAACTCACTTTCCACTTTACCTCCCACTTACCCACTTACTACCTAGCAGAATATAGTTGCAATCTATTCCTTGGCACCTCGCACTCACATCTCTGGTCTTGCATCATATCACCACTTAAGCAAACTCAATCTTACTCTCTCATTTCTGCTCACGCGCCTTGCGCGCACCTTCGCTTTCCCGCTGTAGGACACGAGCTGGCGCTGGGCTCGTATCGAGCTATTTTACAGTACACGTCAAATACCCGTCACATGCTAATCACTTCCCGATGTTATCCGACGCTAACCCGCCAACCCGACGTTTAGGCCGCATCGGACCCGATGTTTTCCCGCGCACTTGTCCTATCCGTGTCCCGTCCTGTCTTGCTAGCCCCACTAGGTGTGTAGTTCATTATTTTGCACATTGCTCACGTCGTAGCCAGCGCTATTACATGTTTTCCCATAGTCCGCAGCGCCTCATGTTTATTTACATGTACTTCGGATCCGAAATACTCCGCCGCTACTTTCGCCTACGGGTTCCGCATTTCTACGTACTTACATATATATTGGACTGACCTCGAGCATTATTCATTATCCAAGTAGAGGGGAGCAGTTCCCCGATGCTTAGTGGTCAAACCCGATATTTCGTAGTTCTTAGTTGATATTGCGAATATCATCGCTCTTTCATTATCCGTATCAGTCATTGTTATTATTGCGCACACCGCTCACTCTTCTGACGCTCGCTACAGCGTTACTATTAGTTTCCGACACCCCGAACCCGAACCCGATAACCCGAAACCCCGAAAACATCGGACCCGATGCTTTTGCATCGGACATCGTAATTATACCCTTGGACATTGTTTCCTGCGCTCGGACTATTGACCCCACATCACTCACTTACCCCCAAGACTATTCCCAGACCGCAGACCCCTGGGTCGAACGCACTTGTCAGGCAAGTATAGCAGACTAGGCAGTGCAAAGACCACAACACAAATATATCAGTTAGGAGCCATAATTGTTTGTTCCTCTCAGTTTTGTTGTTTCTACACCGCGCTTCGCATCAGCCAACCAGCAGCGCCTACTTCTAGATCCTTGCTGCACTCGCTTCCCCTTTAGGGTCGAACGCACTTGTCGTCTCAAGTATAGCAGACTAGGCAACGCACGACCTCACAACATTTATAGATACAGTCAGGAGCATCATTTGTTCCTCTCAGTATTGTTGTTTCTACACTGTGTTTCCTGATTTGTTTTGTTGTTGTCTGTGTTGTTGTGATTGTTGTTGTTGTCAATCACTGACTGACCAAGTTCTGTGTTTGTTTTCTCTCATCGCTGTGTTTCATATCCATATTGTTGGATTGACTGTTGACTGCTGATCGCTGACTACTGACTTTTGTGCGAGCCATATTCTACTGACTGTATCTTAGGAGCAAGGCAAGCCACCCACGAACAACCACGTTATCAGTCATTGGTATTTGTCTGAATCGCTGACCGTGGAGATATTTGGTTTTATAGGTGTTTATCTATAGACCATCTATCTAAGAAGACAACATGACCAATGCCAGTCCGAGTGTTACACTGGACAGAGCAATAAGGATTAGACTGACCAGACTGACCTCGCAGAAAGTGTTGCCCGATGGAGCCACCATAGCTCCAATTATTCTAGCATCCGACAAAACATTGTTGTCCCAATTCCAAGGGGATAAGTCAGTGTGGCCAGTGTATATGTCTATTGGCAATATCGCCAAAGCGAAAAGGCGTCAGACATCAGCACGAGCAACAGTACTCATTGGGTACTTACCTGCAGGGAAGCTTGATTTCTTCACTCCAGATGTGCGCTCCCTGGCTGGTTACAGACTCTTCCATCATTGCATGGGACTGCTCCTGCATCCTCTCATCGCTGCCGGAAATGATGGTGTGGACATGGTGTGTGCAGACTCATGGATTCGGCATGTCTATCCGATTCTGGCTGCTTATGTGGCTGACTTTCCTGAACAGTGTCTGGTTTCTTGCTGTAAGGAGAACTGTTGTCCAAAGTGCCTCATGGGAGCCAATGAGCGAGGGGATGTACTGGACTCAGTGATGCATTGTAGATGAGGAATGTAAAGGGTAGGTAAATATGTAGTATGATATGAACTCAGATGGTCCTCTGTGCGCAAGCTAATGTTGGCCCAAGGGGATTGCTACTGAGAAGGTTCCTCTAAGTATATAATTGGAGGAAAAACACTGAACCGGGCGCTTAGTCAAGCCTGATAAGGTGCTGTAAAGAGTAGAATCATTGTAGGCGCTACAAAATGTATTACCTTAGAACTCAATGTGCGAGTGTAATGCTTGTCCCAAAGAGACTGCCTATAGAACTATCTCTTGATATAAATGCAAGGGATGTCTTGTTAAGATCGAAGGTGAGAGAAGAAAATATACCTAGAGTGCATTCTGTGTTTCCGAAGGTGCATCCGAAGTGTCCGAAGGTGGTCCAACATCAAGAAACGAAGGTCCAAGGTTGTGTGAAGCGTCCGAAGAGCGTCCAGTGAACAGCGAACAGCGAAGGTTCTGAGAAAGAAATACAGCGGGTTTGTCGAAGTATGTTGAAGTATGTCAAAGTATAAGACTAGCAGAAGTACCAAGGTATGACTAGACAAAGTCTATCGGAAGAACTAAGAGATATTGAGGTGCAAAATGGCAGTGGTCAAGCCAAACAATCATTCCGAATGAACAAAAGATCGATTGCGCGAAGTATGACTATCTGAAGTGACTCTACAAACTATGACTCGTAGCAAGGAAAGTGAAGTGCAGTGTGAGTAGTTAGCGAGTTAGATTATATCCTACAGCATGAAAGTCCAGAATTGCATAGGTGAAACCAGTAGCGAGATAAGCTATCTGAAATGTAATAAAACTCATGGCGAGCTGCTACAGAGATATGCATGTAATAGTGCATGAGGTGCACAACTATATGTATTAATCAGGCATTTCGATGTATGTGCCCCTAAGATATAATTAATAACAGATAAAGCAAGTGAAAACGCACCAGTGAAGTCAAACGGACACGGAAAGGACATGGTACGGAGGATCAGAAGTGTATACAGGCCTCGGAAGGGGACAGACAACCTTCGGACGACTCGGATGAGTGCGCAGAACTCTCAGAAGGTAAAAGGAGTGTCGAGGGGTATAATGTGAGATGCATATGATTTAGGCAGGATACGTGACCAACGCCAGTCCAAGTGCTGCAGCGCGCAACGATGAGCGAAGCGCAAAAGAGCGAAAGCACTGATGAGCGCTATTGAGCGATGAAGTGTGATGGCGCACGTGTGGGTGGAGCGGAGCGACTCTAACAAGCCAGAGGACAAATAAGCAGAGGTTCTAGAAGGACGCGACAACTAGCGCTCCAGTATTCTTAGATATTTGATAGTGACTGGCAGCTATGGCAGAGAATTAGACTTAAAGTCCAATGATGTGCGGGAAGAAAGATGCTTATTATACAACGAGATGCAGATATATATATTCTAACTATGTAGCGCTAAAGCAAACCGGGAAGCGAAGCGAGTACGTGATAACATGTAATAAGGGTCCATAACATAACATACAGAATATAAGCGCAAGCACCAGAGATATGTCAGAAACATGAGAAAAAGATAGGAATACGCACCGATGAACTGAACGGACATAGAATGGATGGACAGAGGACAAGCAACGGAACCGAGGATGCACGCACTGATGCGGCCGACGGAGTGCTGAGAGCATGTGAACGAGATATGAGTCGCGCTGTATTTGGAAGGTGATTAGGACATCAGGAATTTAGACCTCTATGAGGCCACAGAGATATTAGTCTCTACAGCGTGATCCTGAGTCCACAAAAGATATTCTGCAAAGGCGCAAGAATGGTCAGCATCCACCAGAATTTGAGGAGAATGGGCTATGTGCCATTTATAGACCATTCTGGGTCAATATGCCTCACACTGACATTTTCCTGGCTTTGACACCTGATCTTTTGCACCAGATTCATAAGGGTGTGTTCAAAGACCACCTCATCAAGTGGTGTCTCGAAATTATTGGCGAGGAAGAAATGGACGCACGATTCAAGGCAGTCCCAGATTATTCTGGACTTTGGCACTTCAAAAAAGGTATATCAAATGTGAAGCAATGGACAGGAAGTGAGCATAAAGAAATGCAATGAGTTTTTATGGGGATACTGACTGGAGCGGTACCTAGGTATGTATGTAACATGTCTTGAGGATGGTGTTTGTTGCTGAGTTATGCCCGGCAGTTGCATGTTGGCGGTGGCACGTGCTATTCTTGATTTCTTGTATTATGCCCAGCTTCACATTCACACAGCCAAGTCATTGGATGCCCTACAGACTGCCTTAGCAGTGTTTCACACTAATAAAGATGTCTTGAAGGAACTTGCTATACACGAACATTTCAACATACCAAAAATACATCAACTCACTCATTACGTTCAGTCAATTTCATTATTTGGAGCGGCTGACGGATTTAACACAGAACTTCCTGAACGTTTGCATATAGACTTTGCGAAGGACGCTTACCGTGCTAGCAACAAACGAGATTTCGAGGAGCAGATGGTCTTGTGGCTTCAATGCCAGGAAGCCGTCTTCTTATGCAGTACTTACCTTGATTGGCTGTCACAGCAGCCTCTCTCTGCTGCAGGTCACACAGCTGTGGCGGTCTCGCACTCTGATTGAGATTCAGATTTGGACTCAGATTCAGAAGGAGAGGCTGCTATTCCTCCTGCAGATGAGCTCCAAGTGACCCATGTCCTTGCCAAGACCCCAGTGCATCCCCACCAATCTGTTCAACACATTGTAAATGCCCATGGCACGACAGATTTTATCCCTGCACTTCAAACCTTCCTTCACATGAATCTTCTGTGCAACACCCTTGTACCAGGTGTTCAGGACCATTTTGATATATATCGTCAACTGGTCATTGTGATGCCGCCTGCTTTTCAAGTTAGTGATGCACCCCAATGTGCAGGCACATTTGAGCAACACCAGAGAGACTTACATCAGGACAGAAACCAGGTTGTCCAGCTCATTTCAATGTGGTGTTGATATCGGATGGTCCTCGCTCTCCACACTTGTGTACTCTAGATGGTACATTTGAGTTTGATTTGTTGCCAGTTTCACAGCAATCTGATCAGTCTGCTGCAGGTCTGCGAGTGGCTCAAGTTTGCGTGATTTTCTCACTCCCTCGTCAGTTTGGCAAATACTCAAGAGCCCTCGCTTACATAGAGTGGTTTACTCCATTTAGATCACTGGACCCTTCATCTGGAATGCGACAAGTGTCGCGCTCGACCCACCAATGTTGCCGCAATGCTGCAGTGATTCACATCAATGAAATCATATGGCTGTGCCATCTAATCCCGAAGATGGGACAATCTGTGGACACGAGGTTGATAACTGGGAATGTGTATGAGGCAGCTAATGAATTTTATTTTAATGATTTCATCGACGGTGAGATGTTTTGTGTGGCTATGACAAGTATTTAGAAGGCAGTGTGTCATTGTATATTTAGTATACCTGCAAATACTAGACAGATGCGCCTGTAGTAACCTGTAGCACGGTGGTAACTCCTAGTGATGTTCCCGGCTTGGCTCAGCTCAAAAGCCAGGGCTAGGGCTCAGCCTGACAAGGCTCAGGCTTTGGAAAATGGTGAGCCGGGCCTGCATAGACGGCTCAGGCTTGGCCAGGGCTCGGCTCGGCCTGGGCCAGGGCTTGTCACCAGAAAAAATCAAATTTCATCTAGTGTTAGTATATGTACCTCTGCATCCTCAGAATCATCAATACCACTCGCTAAATCATTATCGTCCAAGTCTCCATCCTCGACCATGACATCCCAGCTTTCCCTTTCCTTGTCAATCCTTCCATCCATATCATCAACTTCAGCTGCAATACATGGGTCATCTGAGTCTCGGAACAAGAGGTCCCTTTTGATCATACACTTGAGACACTGGAGAGCTTCGACAATGTCAGATTTCAACCGGTTCTGTCGCTTACTAATAGTAATGCCAGCAGACGAGAAGGCCCGTTCACTCAACACCAAAGATCTCATTATTGAGAGGAAGTCTCTTGCTATTGCAGCCCAGACAGGATAGCGAGGAGCATTAACTGCCCACCACTGGACAATGGTTTGACCACCAAGGTGGTCTTTTGAGTTAAGGTATGCATTGAAATCTTGCAGCCATGGCTTCGCAGGATCGTAGGTGGGACTCAAAGCAGTGGGAGTGGACATCATGTCTTCATTGTCAGATAGCTCCCGCATGAGATTCGTGAGCTTTCGGCTCCCTTCAATGATCATGTTCGCTGTCACAGGTTTTGGAACACCATTGCCGTACATCTCTTCATAATACTGTTTGTACTAATGCAATATGAGACGTGACTCTCGCAAATGACAACAAAAGACTTACCATATCTTCAGCGTGAGCAAGAGCATCGTGGTACAAGTCTTTACCCCAATACCGACGAATGTGATTCGTCTTTTGAAGAGGATCAAGCACTGCATGTTCAACACTTAGCTTCATGCAATATCTCATGATTCACGGTTCACGTACACATTGCAATAATGTATGCATCGGAGTCTGCAGACTTTTCATAGTATGCCATAATCTTCGCCACTCCGGCAGCGAGTCCATCTTGAAAGTCGGCATACTTTTCATGGCCACGACAAGTTGACCATGCCTTCCATAGTGCCTCCAGAGCAGGTAATGCTAGATGTAGTGTTGGGCCTTGGTCAGTCGAGAATGCTTGCTGTGCATTATCAGCATGCTTTTCACGTGTAAATATAGGTCTATGCATCTCATGAAGCACTCACACTTAGCAGGTCGAGTAAAAGCTTGACACGGTTCCATTTAGACGCTGTGAGCTCAAGGTCAGTTATCTTCTTGCACTTATGGGGGTCCTTCTCGAGAAGTCCCATCTGGCCAATGAAGTAATCTACATCCTGTCCAAAACAACAAATGCACATCAGATAGTGGAAGATGTAGATCTAAACATAAACATACATCCTTAAGCTGCTCTGCTCGTTCAAGTATAACATATGTTGACGACCAATGGACTTTCATATCCATCAACAGCTGCTTGTGTTCCTTGCTTGGTATGCGACCGTCTTTGTTACGCAGCTGGATTATCTTGAAAAGCTCTTTGCGCTGGGCTGATGAGTGTTCCTGTCCAGCAAACCTTAGGTTAGTTGTGTATTAAGAAATAAATATAAACCCAGACCTTAACACATATAGCATGAACTAATCCAACCTCATCACACTGGATTCCATGAGAGGCAACAAGAACCACATCAGGTTTCATTGCATCAAAATGCTCAGACTTGCTGTGAGCATTAACAATATGTGCAAGGCAGCTAGGGAAATGTCAAACAATTATCGAAAATATATTCTTTGAACATGTAAACACATAGCGCAGACACCGTTTCTTGTGGTCGAATTTTGTCTTCATGAACTCTTCGATATGCATACCAAAATGGGCCATCATTGTATCGTTATTTGCAGCATTGTCACAAGTAACATAACCAATCTACAAACACATCAATGTCGTGAACATGCATGAAAATTGTCTACTGGACCTTATGAGCAATACCAACTTGTTTCACAAGCTTGAAAAGAGCTTGTCCGAGCCATGTCCCATTGTGGGCATTGTTGAGGCGGGTAAAACCAAGCAGTGCCATTTGAACTTTCCAGTCACGCGGTGACACCTCCTCGACCCAAGATCCTGTGATGGCAAAGTAGCCATCAACATTCTGGGCTTGCCATGCATCACATGTGAGGTTGATTTGGCCTTTGACTGCCTCGCTCTAAAGTATCTCGATGTTAGTGAGCTAAAACTGCGTGAGTATGAACACGTACGAGTAGCTGGTTGCGAAGATTGGTAAGATTGCATTTAAAAAGATTGATAATAGCTTGCCGCATCTGTCGTCGACCAGGTATTTTGACGCCATTGGTGGCACGTGCAGCTGTGTCAATCATGTATTTGAAAGATTTGTGATTTAGTGCATCAATAGGCTAGATTGAACAAATAAGCATGTTGCCATATAGCAAAAAGCAAAAATGTACCTGATCAGTTTTGATAAGCCACTCAATAGCAGCCTCATGGAAGAGTGTGTCTGAATATGGTACTAAGCGATCTTTGGGTTTCTTCTCAGAAAGGTGCACATCGAGACGAGCTTGAGAGTCTGCTGCAGCATCTAGCTTGCAACACTTCGTGTCCCTCGGTAACATTGACGTGAATTTGTTGGTGTCCGCCCATTGGATATAGTCATTCTGCGAACAAACAAGTTAGTACAAAATAGTTGCTCAGAATATTGTAATCCTTACACAATGAAAAGTGTCCATGTGATGGCGCATGGTTGTTACCTCACTGACAAAAGCAACGGGCTTTTTCATTTTTTTGCTATCAGGTAGTCAGTTGCAGTGCAGGACGAGTGAGATAGATGAGAGCTTGCCTGCAAATCTCACAATTGTGGTACTTCTTGCCTTTATTATCAGTGTAAGGTGCCGAAAAAAAATTACTGATGTCCTGGCTTCGCTGTTCTTGGCGCAGTCTTTCGGTTTCAGGCTCGTTAACCTCCAGGTCCTTCAGAAAGCCATCTGCATCAAGGTCGTCGGAAGTTGGAGCAACCTGTGGTGCATTGACTGCACAAGTACTTGTAAGATTGTCAGCATCACATGCGGTAAGTTATGACTTACTGATAGTAGCGGATGGGCCTGCCTCATTCAGGACAGCATCCGGTTCAGCCCCTGTGGACACATTGCTGTTGTCAGCAGCACGGGCTCATTTCTTGGCTGTGATAATTCAAACAGTTGAGTTAGTACTTGAAAAACTCAGAAAATTAATTACCTTTTGTGAGCCATCTGGGTTTGCTGCGAATCAACTTGAGATCACTCTCATCCTTGTCAAAGTTGGTAATGAGGGTCGGAACTTGGGGTACAGCATTGGCAGCACCGTGAGCCTTTCTGTGGGAATGCAGTTCGAGGTCAGCAGTGTTATCTGTGCTGATTACCTTGGCTGATGGCATCACAACCCATTTAGGACGTTGCGCAGGTGCTTCGTCATGATCAGAATAGACGTGTGGGGCCACCATCTGCAGATTCTGGAGTTAAGTGGGCTCGAATTGATTTTTTAGGCGATGAAGACCTGGGTAGAAATAAACTATGTAGTTGTCTGGTGTTTGCCGTACAAAGATCAAAGCCATGGCCTGAAGGCCCGTCTGGCTTGAAATACTGGAGGCTGAGCCTGGAGCCCTATGAGGCTGCCCTCAAGGCCCGGCTGGGCTCGGCCTAAATAAGCCCGGTCAGGCCCGGCCCAGGGCTTGAGGCCGGGCTTTGCACATCACTAGTAACTCCTGTAGCATCCTGTAGGTGCCTGTAGCACAGTCATAAGTCCTGTAGTGCGGCTTGAGGTTATATAGTGCTATATAGCTCTATATAGTGCTACGATGACTATACATATGTGCCTATATAGCTGTCTCTGTAGACCTTAAATATTGTAGCTAGTCGTAGAGTTAGGGCAGAGTTGTTTGAACCCCCGAATGGGAGACTTTGATCCTGTCACTCGTTTGAACTCTCTCTTCTATTTGTGCTGTTGTCTTCGAGCCTTATCCGCTAAATAGTCAACGTCACAAAATGCCGCCGGCAAATTGAGGAATCCATTTTAAGCTATACTAACCCAGAATAGAAATTTCCGACATGTTATGCGCGGTCGGCGGTCTGACCAGTGACCATGTTACACCGATCTATGTCGGAACAGTAACAGGGCACTCATCACTCGTGTTTTACAGATGGGCCCTAGTCCATCTTTTCCAAAAAAAACTCGAGGCCATAACCAATCCCTGAACTATCCCAAGCCGAGCGTTCAATATTCAATGACCAGCTCATTGGGCGAAAGTTGTAGATATTTGTCATGCCGTCGGTCAGAAAAGTGGTTCGATGAGCATGTCATATATAAAAGAGTTGACCGGAACGTTGTCAATTTGTTCTATGTACCTGCTGGTTAGTTCAAGTGACTTTCAAGCGTCAGTCTTTTGATTTATAGTCGCCATGGATCTTGTTCTCCACCTCGCAGATGACTATCTCCTCGACAAAGTATGGGCGTGGCTGCTACCTGTCAACGATCACCTAGTTCAACCGTCATGTGCCTCCCTTTCCGCCTCTGCAAACTTCACGTCAATCATGTATCTTCAGCAGTCTGCCTGGGCTCGTGATTACATCCCTAGACAAATTATTTCTCTAAGTGTAATCACCCTCTTGGGCATTCACTTCCTCTATTTCCTGTTCGCGTGGCTCTCATACAAATTCATTTTCAATCATGAGATGACGCGCCATCCACGCTTCCTAGAGAACCAGGTCAAACAAGAGATACAATGCAGTCTACGAGCCTTTCCCGTAATGACCCTTCTCACTCTGCCTTGGTTCCAAGCAGAAGTAATGGGTTACTCAAAACTTTACGATAATGTAGAAGATTACGGTTGGGCTTACTTTGCCCTATCGGTACCATTGTCAGTGCTTTCTCTTCCAACCGTAACATATACTCAACATTTATCATTAGCTTCTTGCTTTTCACCGACTACGGAGTTTACTGGACCCACCGACTGTTGCATCACCCGAGTATATATAAAACATTCCATAAGCCTCACCACAAGTGGATAAGTATGTTGCTTTGCTCTGCATCCTGTCTTCTTGCGTTTAAATATTTTGGTAGTTCCGACCCCCTTTGCGTCTCATGCCTTCCACCCCGTAGACGGCTACCTCCAATCTCTCCCATATTACATCTTTATATTTATATTCCCTCTTCACCGATGGTTATACCTTGGTCTCTACGTTTTGGTCAATCTGTGGACTATTCTCGTACGTGCTTTGCATTACTCACATGGACCGCTCTGAGGTCAACGACACCAGATTCATGATTCCGATATGGTCACGGGACATGCCCTCGAAAAGGTGATAAATGGACCCGCTCATCACACACTCCACCATCTTTACTTTACGGTCAACTACGGTCAGGTACGCAATATCGTTTATGCTTTTCTCGTGGTTGTCCCCTAATGCCTCTTGTCCCCACGCTCAGTACTTTACGTGGGCAGATCGTGTCGGTGGTTCGTACCGCCAGCCCGAGTCGTCCCTTTATCCCATGCCGGAAATCAAGAAACAGTCATAAAAACGATGATGACGATGATCGCGGTGAACCTATTTATCATCCAATTATAGACTGTCGCGCACCCTTGCCCAGTGACTACTACTACTCGCTGAAGTTAATACGTTTCTACATACTGCTTTCTTGCTTTTCATTGAAAATAGTATCGGTGTCTTCGTTTAGAAGAGAAACATAACTGCCACTCTATTAATGCAACATCGAGACATCGACATGTGGATGTAGATAGCGTACTACTCAAAAGCAACTCAAAGACTGTCCCGACGCCTCAATCTCGCCTACTTCTTTGGCCGCCTCTTGACCTCATCGTCCTTGCAAGCATGTAACATGAGTTTGTTGGGATGTCCTGGCGTCATCCCGCTGTGGCCTTTAGACCAGTCATACGAGACAGCGTATGCAAAGATCGTGCCGTTTCGATTGAATGTAGTAGCACTGATCGGCCCAGGGGCTGCTTCGAAAGCTAGAAAAGTATGATCAGTACAATCGTAAACAGCCGGTAATTAGAGTGGGTATACTTTTTAGTCGTGTGCGGGCGTCTTTGTCCCAGAAGTGGATAGTTCCATCAGAGCCTGGGTCGTCCAAATCAGACCAGTCACATGGAACTAAAAGCCTCGAGGCTTACCGCAAGTAGAGAAGGTTCCGTGCACAGGATGGAAGGATATGTCATTGACGGCGTACACGAGGGACTGGTCCTTGGCGTTCGGTGTCTGGTCTTTTCGATGGCACTTGAATGAAAAATTGTTCCTGTACAGCACGTGAATGAAGGCATAAGCGGAACTATGAAATACCCGTACGAGCTGTCTTTTTCTTCGACGTATCTATGAGATGATGAGCGCCTGAAGACCAATCATCTGATAAAATTACGTACTGGATGGCCACACGACCTTCCACACTACCCACAGCAAACCCGCTGCTAGCGGAGTTGGTGAAGCATGAGACAACGCGCGTTTGCCATTTGAGCGGGGAAGTGATGGTCTAAATGACATATATAGGTCATGTGAGGACATCAAGTGAACCTCGTGGACATACCTTATATGCTGTGTTTGGGTTTGTGAGATTGAAAATCTGGATATTGCGTTCGGCTGTAGCAACTACCATGAGCGGATATTGCACATCCATGCTGTAGCAGCGCTCAGGTAGTTGAACGGTGGCAACGGGAGTTGGCGAGCGCATATCCCAATACTATGGTGGTGAACGATAACGCAAGTTATGAGACACATGTACATGTTACGAGGATTACAAGAAGCTTACTTTGACGGTCTTATCCCAACTGCCAGTGGCCAGAATGCCACCTTGTGGCGTCTCTATCCATTTTACGACCTTCACAGGGGCATCATGCTGTGCCACTTGCTGTGATTGTCCATTCGTGATATCAAACATGCGTGCGGCATTGTCCGCACCCCCCGAAATAACTTTGTTACCCTCCTAGAGGCCAAAGAAACGATTCAGCCATGTCAGGTGAAACCAAAGAAAGTACGAACGCACCTTGTTCCAACACACGCTCAACACAGGTCCTTGGTGGCCGAACATGGCCTTGCCTTGAGTCTGCCCTCCAGCGCCAACTTCATACAAACGCACCTATCGATGTATCGATTACGCGTCAAACCGAGGCCAGATAATGTCTAAAAACACCTACATTGTTGTCCCAGCTTCCTACAGCTAGATAGTCCGCTGCAGGGGAGAAAGCTAAGGAAGAGATGGAGTCAGTCGGTGTCTCCGGAACTTCGATATCCTTTTCTGCAGGCGCCGCTGGTGCTGTCGTTGCCGTGTTAGTTCCAAAAAATGACATGATGTCTCAGTCAAAAACAGTTGGAACTGAGAAGATTGCAAAGGTGCAATTCTAAGGAGCAATTCAGTTTCAGTGCAACAGTCAGACCAAAGCTGTGGCGTGGTAATTTCGGGTCGCGCTGTAATGAATGTCAAGGTCCTGGAGCAAGCATGGCGGGTTGGCGTAATGGTAACGCGCTAGTTTCCGGTTAGTGATCGCTAGAGATTCTGGGTTCGAGTCCCAGGCCTGTCGCTTTTTGCTGGTCTCATCACGTAATGGCTACAAATATGCAATACGCATGGGCTAATGATACAAAATTCAAAAATACAGCTAACATCAAACTCTTCGCTACAATACATAGGGGACCAGTGAAAACTCATGTCGAGCGTTGTCTCTAATCAAATTTGGGAGTGTCAAATGTGCCTTCAGGATCTGAATATGCACAATCAGATGTGGGTACGAGAAAGA